ATGGTTCTTTTGCGTGCACGCCAATGTGTAAACAGACACTGGCGCTACGGTCTACTCTTTTACCGAATTCCAAATACCAAGGGATGTTTACGTGAACGCCAATGTGTAAACGGGACCTCGGATGTTTGTCCCATCCGAACAACTATGCACTGTCCTTGTCAGACACGCTTCCCTGCACACCTGACAAGAGGCAGCTACCGCCTGGTCAGCTAACCAGCGTCTTACTCACGTAACTTTTGAAATGACAAATACCATTATTACCATATTTAGTGTCCAAATAGCCACAATATTGTGTTTCAACACCCCATCAGAAGGTCTGTCATTTAGTCAAGTGTTGTGGTTTCGATTCAACGCTTGTACGTGACAAGGAGAAGGGTCGCCTGTCCAACCTCGTGGGTTTTCTCAGGGTCCCCCGATTTCCTCCCACTGCTAAAGACCATTGCGCGCAAGCGAATTACTGAAATAAATCTGAACCATGTTATAGGTCGCGAAATGACCTAGCTTGTGTCGAGTGGACGTTACCCCCCCCCCCCCCTCTCCCTCTTTCCCTCTCTCTCTCTCTCTCTCTCTTTCTCTCCAGTTGATTCTTACCTTCCAGAAACATGGTAACTATGTAATCCAGTACGACTTTCAGTAGAAATTGATCCATTACAGAATATACATTTCCAACTGTCAGTACTCTCGAAACTTGGATTCTGGAATAAATTCTGTGCAGCAATAAAACCAGGTAATAGTAGAATTATATATAACATATTGTGCGCTAATGTTACCTTGTGAAATAAAAGATATCCATACTTAACCTTATTTTATAGCTGATAAGGCATTCGATCTGCGTGCCTGTAAATGAAATCAATTGGAATGGGGTTTAACATATTACTTTTCTGTACCGACTGGGCTAATGGAGTTTTACAGTGTGCTATGGCGGAAACTTTTGCTACAGCCTATTCATACATCGAATTCCAACTGCCAAAGCTTATTGTATTACGCACCAATGTGTACAAGAGACCTCTGTGTTTCGTTCGTACCTTCAATAAACGAACCCAAATTGTTTGGACATCGCGAGGACATGCTTTGTGTATGCCCTTGTATTAACAGTATTATACGACAGCCATCGAACATATTTAATTTGCCATGTCCCGCCCTTTCGGGTGAATCTGGAGGGACGATTAAAACGGGTCTCGAACACATCAGCTTTACTTCTGATTGGGATAGAAAAAATAATGTTCATTAGGTAATGTTGTGACTTTATTAGATGATCAACATTTTGTGCTTTCGTGGGGCAAACATAGGCAACTTGATTTGTTGATGCCTGGGGCACGATATCTGGGGGATTGACTGGGCGATAAAAATACAAACTGTAGTCAAAAACCAAACATTTGGTTCGAAGTACAGCTTCAGAAATATGTTATAAGTAGAAAGATAGGTCTGTAGCAGGTTGGGTGGTCGAATGACGTAACGCGTTGGATTATGAAGTAGGTCATGGAGTCAAGTGGAGTTGATTAGATTCCCGCTTGTACGTGACATGGAGTAGACTAAGTGGGTATTCTCCGGGTTCTCCAGTTTACTACCACATCTAAACCATGTTATTCCCGCAATAAAAGTTTATGTCGAGTGGATGTTACCCCCACCCCCTTTCATAGTAAAGCGGCCGTATATTGAACATCTTATCAGCCAGATGTTCAGTTCTCAGAATGCAGATAATAATTCTTAAAATAATACGTAGATTTAAGATAAATCGCTTTGATTTTGAATAATTTACAACAGCCTTGCCATTTAATAATACAAGATACGCCCACATTTAGCAAGAGATGGACGGGGAACACGAAAAATCAAAAGATTCATCATCTCATTGCCCTAATGCTTCAAATCGAACGTAATTTTCATGCGCACATCGAACTAGTTCAAGATTTTTTTTACCCTTAACAAATTCGGACAAAATATATTCATAGATATTTCACATTTTGCGTAAAAAGGAGAGGCTATAACCAAGAACGGAAGGTCCGATGCGCACAATAATCTTTTAATCCGTAATACATACTTTAACGTTTCATCTGAATCGGAAAAAAATGTCGCCTATGAAGGGTCCACAAACTTTGTGCATATTTCAAATTTTGCGTTCAAGGCAGGGGGGAGAACTGCAGAACGGAAATTAAGTTCTATGCGCACTGCAATATACATTAAATCGGACACAAATTGTGGTCTCCGGCACCCCACAAGAAACTTAATATTTTGTACAAGCAGGGGTCATATCAGAAGGAATCGGGTTATGTGGGTTATAAATTTCATCAAAATCGGATAAAATTGTCCACAAGATGCACTGGCGATTATCAGGAACCATTATCCATGAAGGTACGATCCAAGATCTTTGGGATATAAACCTTTTTATACGCCCGCATGTGGACGTATATTGTCGTCACCCTGCCCGTACGTCTGTCTGCCGTATGCATTGGGGCACAATGCATCTCCTTCTAATCGAGCTAAACTGTTCAAACTTGTTGTAGGTATTTATTAGGTAAATGCCTTGCTGGAGTTTGATGATGAGCATTTTCTGCTTAGGATAAGCAATTTGATTGGTAGATGCTTTGGGACACGACAACTTTGGTTTTAACTAAGTGAGAGTGATGAAACGTGGTGTATAGTTTCATTATATCAACAACACCCCCATCCCTTTGCCGAAAGTCTTGTGAACACGAAATAAGCTAGTTTTCGACCGATTCTTTTCAAATTTAATGTGAAGCATTAGTGGTCACAAGAGAACGAACCCTATCGATGTTCAGTGTCAACGCTACTATATTTTATGAACCCTCTAGATTTTGAGCTTTCCGTTGTGAACGCAATAAAGATTTCTAATGGATCTTTACTTTTTCATATTTGGCTTGGGGTCGTCGATACCTATCGATATCTAAAATCCACAAATTTCCGTTCCTGAAACCTTGTGTACGCGATACAGGCTATAGGTTTTATATTGTCGTTGCTCCTGTCCGTCCGGACGTCCGTCCACAATTTGTTTGTAGACACTCTACAGGTCACAATTTTTTATCCCATTTTGACGAAACTTGAAATATAGGCTCACAGATCTCGGTTCCCGTCGAAACTGGCATGTATCGGACCGTAACTTCATGGATTATGGCCCCTGATTGTACGAAAAATCACGTTTGTTTTTAGCTTGTGACACTCACAACTTTTATCCGATTTAGAAAAACGTTTAAAAGTATCACCGTAAAACCATTATGATGATTAATTCCGAATTTCGTGAAAATCTGACCGAAATTACCCGACAAAATACCCAAATAGTGCAAAAGTACGGAATATTCGTGCATGTCGGACCGTAACTTCCTGGATTTAAGCCCCTGTTTGTACCAAAAGTCGCATTATGTTTTTAGCTTGTTATCTATCCATCTCTTGCAAAATATGGGCGTATCTTGCCTGGCAGCCGCTGGTTTTCAATTTAGTTGGAACCAATGGGGTCATAGGAAAATGAGCTCTTGAGATCTGATTTCTTCAAGGATCCAAGTTTTCTTATAAGCCGTAATTGAGACACGGCCGCCGTGTTGGCGCATTCCACGCTTTGCATGGCTTTCTCTCTTCTTAAAAAAATAGAACCTGTATAATTCACTGAAATAAATCTTGCAGGCATGAAGGTATTGTTGAGTACAATTGGGCACAGGAAACTAATGGCCGTGGTGACTACGTCATGATAATTATATGATGTAACAAATACCATGAAAGAAATCAAACATACTTGTAGAATACAAAAAAAATTGTTTGTGTTAAGATGGACAGATCTGCCCTGTGTTCAGTAGGAGCGAGCTATCTTCATTTCTTGTCAATTGAGATTTCTATCACCAGAGTTAAAACTCGTAAGGCAAGAAAAAAAAGGATATTAAAGCACCACTACACTAATCTTGTATGCCTCGGGTGTTGCTGTTATATTTGAAATCAAATGAAATAGTTTATTTACACATAGTTGTAGTGTGTGTTACTAAGTCACTGAAATCCGCTAAGGTGGTCAAGGTATCGGACCCGATCAGAGCGAATGTAACTTAACATTAGGTAACGATTAATAATTGAAGTAAGGCGTGGTTATGAAGGAAGGTTGGTTTGTTTAATTATATATGTAGAGATGTGTTCCACTATAATGACAAAACACAAGTTTACTATAATGTATAGGTGTTCATTATTATAAGTTGTCGACTGTCATTGTGCAAGGTTCCCACAATGACGACTCGCACCACGATTGAAATCGTGGAGTCATTGTGGTGACCCTATCATGTCTTATCATATATATTTTGTGGCCAGTTGTAGCAATCGTGTTGATCATATCGAACCATATCCAAACGTTTATGCACGTACCGGATCGTGGACTCAATAGGGACAATCCTATCGTAACGTATCACACAGAGGTGGGAACCTAGCATTAAATACCATGCAAAAAGAGCGAAAGAAAATCCCAGATTATGCAGTGATCAAAGATCTAACTTTAGAATGATTACTTTATTAAAATTTGTCAATCGTAGACCCTACCCATATAAGCTGAACAAGGATGCGTATTTGCTTCGTACTTGAAGATTAGTAATAAGCTAGTTATCCCTGTTGGGATCCTTGGAACACTCGAGAAAGAAAACGCATAGTTCATTATAAGACCAGCAGTTAGGTCAAATCTTAAAACCAATATAAGCTGCACTTAATCTTGGGGGTTACTTCCTAATTCGTCCGATGCTGGGGCGTTAGCAGCCTAATAAACAGAGTGCCGTAGCCAATGAAGAAGGCGTTTACAACTAAATATGGTGGTTAAAATGCTTCAACGTTTTCTAACAATTCACCAACGGAGTGGGTATGATGGTTGTTAAGAAGGAGAATGTCAAAGATAACAAAGTTTCATCAACTACTTAAATGATTTAACCGTAAATAAAACCAATTTGAGCCTGCTTCGGATTTTAAAACCAATTTAATCAACACAGAGAAAATGACAACAACATCTTCAGCTCCATTTTAATGATTTATTTTGAATCACATTATTTTCAAGAGGGATATACGGGGTTATTTCGACCGCCATCTACACAAATTACCTCCCCTGTTATATATGATGACTCGTCGGAAAGAAGAAATTTAACAAGTTTGGCTACATCTTCTGGTTCACCTATTCTTCCCAAGGGGACCCCTGATCTCTGTCTAGCATATAGCTGAAAGAGAAAGGGTTGATAAATTAGAGTGGTAATTTCGCCCGGGGTAACCTACTGTCGAATAGTTTCAGCTTCGTATGAGGTAAAATGGTTGAACGTTTTGACTCAATGACAGAACTTATAATCTACCCCCCCCCCCTTCGCCGTTAAGCAATAAAACGCACTAGAGGCTCCCGGATTAGGTGTGAAACGTTTTCTGTCATAGAAACAAAAGTTGTCACATAATCCTGTACGAACAGAATATGTTTCAATAGTTCCAATTTCCAATTCATAAAGGTGTACGCTTTGTTACCCAAAATCAGTGGAGGCGTCAGCCGCCGGTGGATGAAGGGACAAATTTTGAAAATTTGAAATGCAGTCGGCATGGCAGTATTTCAGGCACAGATATTCGAGATGAATAGAACTGTTTTTATATAAAAACCACTGCGGACAGAAATGCAATAATTCAATAATAAAGATCTAGACTGCTAAATCATTCCCGAATTCTAGGGAGGATAATTCTTGAATTTGGATATATGTTAGCGAAATGAATGAATACAGCGTTGAACCTATATCCCAAAACTTTGAGGGCAATAAAAAGCACTTCTCAAGTGGTGCATGTGTTATTGTGTACAGCAGGATGGATTTGGTAAAGAGTCATTCTGACTCTACAACATGCAAGACTGTGATGAATTGGAATGAGGGATTTAATGACCGTAGAAAGGATTGATTACCAAAACATATCACAAATATTATATTTTATTTTCTTAAATTAATGGGGTTGGGGACAAAGAGAAAGCAGACCCTCGTGATTGCCAGATTTCAAATCTGAATAACAATTCGTGAACGCTACTTGTACTTACATCATCCACTGCCTTTTCAGATACCCCCGTACGCAGTTGAAATTCAGATCTTGTGACACCAGGACTAAAATAAAAATTATAACTATAGGTTGTCAAGCAGCGACGCCTGCGACCACTTACGGCTTAGCAATCCACACTATTTATGTGGAGAGTAATTTAACGTTTTTGTGCTCTGAAAGCAATTTTTCCAGAATGTCAGAAAGTTTGATTAAAATCAAAAACAGGGTAACCTTAATAAAAACAAATTCAATATAACAATATCAGACTTTGATGGCAAGGGTAATAACCCTACTGTAATTTGATACACGTCCACATTTCGATTGAGTTCATCTTTATCACGATAAAAAAGAAAATATACCAAGGGTTCAGAACCAGAAGTGGATATCTCTAGTTTTTTCGATTTTGATTAATAAAGCCCGTTTCGGCCACATGTGGATATCTGGCACATGTTTACTTTAGTACTAAAATGTTCTTGCCCAAACTAGGAGGACAGTTTTGCGCTATTAGGAGTGACACCCTTTTTGGAGATATTCACTTCTGGTTCTGAACACTCAATACACTTGAATTAGAAACGTATATTTTTGTATACCAAATCTGAATTGCTTGTTTGGAAAATACTCAAATATTTAGAAACATGCTCATCTGTCTTTAATCCGTTACACAGCCATGAACTGCGGCGGTGCTCGGTAGACCTCCAGTCATCCAACCCGGTCATACACAATACATGTAGTTCATGAATATAGTTACCTTACACAGTTGACTCTGATACCAAATGGCGCTGTTTCTATACGAACAAAAAGTTTAATTAGATAATCAATGACATATACAATTAATGGTTTGAACAAGCGCCATACTCACCGGACAACCATAACACCCAAAGGCCATATTCGAATGCTTTGGATAATAAGTATTTATGGCCTACAAGTGAACGGTTTAGCTGTTATTTGGATGTGGAGTTCAAATTGGCGGCCATCTTTCATTTATGCTAATTAGACTCTTTCCAGGTGTCCGATTTTTGGAGACTTGTGCTTTTACATTAAGAATACCCAACTGAATGATAATCAAAATCTAACTGTTGCGGTGCAATTTGTTTTGTGTTATAGCTTTATTTGAGCTTATTTTACTACCCCGATAACCACCAGAAAATATTGGCTTACATTGATTGACCGACTACATTATGTTGTTAGTTTCATGTTAGTTTGTGGTATATGTGTGTGGATGGGGTTTGTAGTGAAGGGTCGAATTTCAAAATAACCTATAAAGTATTTAATTTCTATAAATCTCCACCTCTGTTCAATATTTCTATTTAGTTTTAACAAACACATCATACTTTACCTGCTGAAAGTAAATGTGTAAAATGATCTAAAGAAGCTTTGCTCATACAATATGCCGCTGCTGAGGTTATCTGCAATGATATAGACAAACAGAACATAGTCGACCTATTTTTAAGCTCCTCTACAGTCGCGTGTAAATGAGTGTGGTAAATGTAGGTATATAAGTCATGTGCGCATATGCCTTTTTTAACATACATATCACCTTCTACATCGACTGCCACTTCTCAAGTGTTTAGCACAGGCAAGAGGGGGTGAGGTGCAGCTGGGAAACTTGTTCAGGGCCGCAGATCCTAGAGGTGCCCGGATGTATGCCGTATATTTTTTTTTAATTTTTAAAAATTGTTGGTATAAATTAATTAAAGAAACAACACTGTTACTTTCTCCTAAAGTAGACGAAAACCGGTAACTTTTCTGGTTATAATCAAATTTCGTCAGCCTACCTATAAACGAAACTGAAAGCGAAATTTTTACCAATCTCGGTTAAAGTGATCTCCAGTTACCCCAGATATTCGACAACATGACGCTAGAGACCATGTATCTTTAAAGAATGTCGAGCCCGGGTGGGGGGGGGCGACTCCTCACTTCCCTCGCCGAGTTGCTTGTTCTGAGGATAACTCGTCAATATCAGGTACTTAGTACTACATACGCATATCTAAAAACGGTCACATATCTAGCATCCGATGCCACTTCTTAAGTATTTCGCGCAGGTAATAATGCAAATGATTGCCACCCCATCAAGGGGAATAACTCAATTCGGCACTACCGGTACTAAAAAAAAGGGTGGGGTGGGGTAAATCTTCACTATCAGGTATGCCTAAATACTAATGGAAGATATGCATATCTGATAGACGTTACAACGAGCTGTATATTTATATTTTATGTTAAGATATTTTATAAATACCGATCTTACATAATGTAGTTTTTGCGACAACATTTCATATAAAAACTTACCCCTTTCTGTGCTAAAATACTTGATATATTCACTACACCGCCTGCAAAACACGTATATTCTCAGATAACAGTGACACAAAATATATACATTCTTAGCTAATAATAATACAAAACACTAAACTTCCTTATTAGTGGCTTCGTGGGTAAGGCACTGGCTAGCTAACCAGGCGGTCCGCTGGGGGGGGGGGGGGCATCCTTGTGTTGCTTGAGATCGTTCTCTGGGATTATCCGGTGTGATTTCCCCTTGCCAGTGATGCAGAACGGAGGAACTGGCAAAGGCAGCATTTAGTCTTTCAGATGGTGCAACAAATCGCAGTCCCGTATACCTGTTGGCGTGCATGTAATAGAACTCTTAACGGTTGTCATTCGATAGAGAGGAGGCCGTAGCGTCGCTGTCCATGCAAGATTTTTGCATAGCACATGGTATGGCGTATGTCCGACCCCCCGTGCATTAGATTAAGACGTTAAACCCCATTGCATTTCCTAATTAGGAAAGCAGTTGTTTCTATTTTGACAGGACAGAAACAGGGGCGTACATATCGATTTTGTTTTGGGAGGTGTTGTGAAAATCTGAGACCGACTGATGCACGCTTAAGAGTGACGCAGCTACGAACCGAGCACTGCAGGTTAGAGCTTTCAAGGGGGTCCGGGGAAATTTTTGAATCTAATAAGAGTCCCTGAAATGCTATTTCCTGGTCTGTTGGTAGAGATTTTGCAGAATTCTGGTGGTCTGAAAACACTTATAGTATGAGTAAAATTGAGTTCTACGTACATGGGAATTCATGTGATAATAATTATACTATTTACATTTTCGATATATTGAGGCGTTCCTGTCTGAACTCATAACAGTTTCTACTAATTTGAGCTTTGAAAAGCTGCCCTCAGCAGATGCGGATGCTACTTTTACTGTAAGCAGCAATTTGAAACATTGTCTAGTCAGTGGAAACAGTGTTTAAGTCTGGGATTTCGGATAGCTGGGGCGTCTTTGGCCAGTTCAGCCTCCAAGGCGTCCTCATCTTGTCGCGTCGACACAGGAAACATATCACTTGGGATTTTAGCCGTCTAGTTTGACATTGTTTACCTTATTAATTCATTTAGTCGCCGATGCATAATTTTAGGACCGATTGCAGTGACTGCACCCATCAAATTTAATCCTCTGTACGGAAATAACAGAACATCATATTGTTGAGATATTGAAATCCCAAATTATATTACAAGGACTAAATCAGGATTAGTTACTTATACAATAAGCAATGTTATTGAAATCACTCTCAATGGCGGAACAACGGGATGACACAAGGGCTTTGCCCCCGTCCCCACATGTATGCCGCTGTTAAAAATAAACCTAACAAACAACAAAAACAGTATTTCACTTATAGAAGGTCGAATTTGTAACTTCGATGCACTTGTCTAACAGAGAATATGCCCCTTTTCACTTGGCCCCCACCGCACCGCATTCGTCCAAATATTTAAATTACCGCTCTTGGTGTTCCGTTTCTCATTTAAACGTATTCCGAATAGGTAAGTGGTGTACAGTACCGGGGTTAGGCATGGCATGTTGAAGTCTAGGACGTCACGATAAAGGGAACCTCTCAAGGTACATGTATATCATATTTTTGACACTGGTATGAGTCTGTCTTACACGCACTGTAATCTTAAACATCAGTCATAATCCTCGACTTTGCTCAATATTGTTTAAAACACGCTTTCACATTCGTCTAGTTGTAGAGTTTGGGAATTCGGGGCCAGAATATCATAAGGTAAATATATTCATCTAAAATCGACAATGGCGGTGATGCAATATATATTTAGTACTTCCTGAATCTGTGTACACAATACAAGATGGCCGACTTGAAACTATTGACTCAAATAAACTCACCTTTACTTTGTTTAAGATGAGGGATACATAGTTTGGATAGATAAAACGGCGCCCTTACATTTACTTTCATAAGATTATCATAATCATTCATATCACTGTTTTCTACATTACTGTAATATCCAATTCCTGCGTTGTTCACCTATATGGATGAAAAATTAAATTAGGTTAATCTATAGAGAGGTTTCTGAACAATGAAGGCGTTTCTCCAAATCAAAACACTGCAGTGCGTTGTAATAATCTCTAAATATATTAATTGCGTTCTTAATGATCAGGCAAATTTTATATGACAAGCATATTCATTGAGATTTTTATAGTTTTTGAAGTGTAATAATTTGGATGATAAGCGAGATGGGGTTTAACGTACACTCGACACAAACCAGGTGATTCCGGGACTAACGTATGGTGCAAATTTATTTCAATAAAAAAAAACGATGTTAGTGATCCAACTCCTTGAACGATTTTTCACCTAACCGCCATGACTTAATGGATGACACGGAGTTTAATTTAGTACTGTTCTGCTCCAAGCAGGCTGGAGACAAGTTACAGGCGCGGATCCGAGGGGGGGGGGCTTGCGCCCGGTGCGGTGGCGAACAAATTTTTGCCCCATATATTCTCGCGGGAAAAGAGAACAAAAATACTTAATAATGGTAGTGATCCCCGTCGTAAGTCGGCGGTAGCTGTGTCCTTGTGTCCTGTCGTGTCCTTGTGTCATTATGCGCCCTTTTATGCCTACAAAGCATCTTCAGCTTCTGAAATCTATTGTTTTGTTGATCCCCGGGCTCTGAGTTATACTACACTCCACCCCTGCCTGATTGGTTCAACAATGGACACGTCTTCGTCACCTGTGTATAGGGTATTGGGCGACCCAAATTTCACGGATAAACGAAAGCATACATAAATAATCACATCTTCACTCATTTGCTTAAAAAACGGTGACAGCGCAGATCCATCCAATTATGACAGAGAAACGATCTGAGCCGACGTTAATGGACTTGTTTTCTCGGATCTGGCGTGGTGCCATTTTTTAGGGAATGCGGCATTAATGATCATCAGTTTAGGTTGGAAATCGTAATTTACTCCGAAACGAGCCAGTTGGTGACCGAGGGCCGGGCTTCGCACTCCCAAGTAGGAGCAGCACTCCCCTGCTTTCTGAAAATCCTGGATCTGCACCTGAGTTGAGACAAGTCAGTGGCATGGCTTGAACGTCACAAGGAGTATGGTCGCCTGTTTACCTCGTGGGTTTTATCCGAATTATAGAAATAAAATTGAACCATTAGTTAGTCCCGAAATGACCTAGATTGAAACCTCATATCTCTTTCTCTCAAACCAGGCTAATTAAAGAGGGCCACACCCCATGCAGTGTGCTATGATGTATATTTTGTCCGGACAAAAATTGAATTCCAAATGTCAAGTGCGAAACTTGAGTAAACTAATATGTTATAGACTTACCAGACCATAAATAGAACCAAATGTTTTTATTGTCGTATCAACTAAATTCCGTAGATCGCCATCTTTACTGACATCACATACTACTGTCAGAATCTTTAATAAAGATTGAAATATTAAAACAGGTGATCGCCATTTGCATTTTTCCGACAATATCTAATAGTTCACGTTAAAATGTAATCAAATTTATTATTCAACATCCAATTAAGAAAAGAACAGAAAGCGAATAATCTACCGTAGATACAGAAGCCTACCCTCCCTGCCTAACCCTTTTCATGCGCAGCCTATACAGAAAAGGCCATGGAGAGAGTCTATACATTTAAAAGAGTAATTTTCCTTCAGAAACGGTCTCAGATGTACGGAAATCGACTTGAATCGTTCAAAATTTTCTTGGGTAGTACGCCCCATATCCATCTTGTGGCTCTGCGGCCAGTTCCGTCGGAACAGCCCCCCTCCCACCTTAACAGCCCCCCCCCCCCCCCCCGATCATTTTTCTGCACACGTTCCTGTGCAGTTTCCTATCCTGGATTCAATGATATGAAATAGTGACTCGTGATTTAAATGGGAACCGCCTTTGTATTTAACCTGCAGAGTATGCATAGATTGACTCGTGCAAAACACTGTTATTGTCGACATAGACATATCGAAAATACAGCTGCGACAATCGTTGAATCTACAAAATCATTTAATCTGATTAAAACATAGCTGCAATTTCGTTTCGTTTTTTTATATATTGTTCAGAATCTTGGTTTATTTTACTTGTCTTTACTACAGTGTGGGAGCCATCGAAAGTATAAGAACAAACTAAACAAACTATCTGTATTTTAATCATCAGATTGGTTGTCATTTGTTTACCTATTTATGTATTATCGAGATTGGTTACGTGAAATGAACACGCTCTAGCATATAAAGTTAGCTGATCTACCTTGTCCTTGGCTAAACCGGCCTCCTGGCATTGTGTGCTTGTTTCTTCTAATCCTGTGATGTTCCTAGCTGCTAGAACAAGCCTGGGTTTAAACTGAGCCAGATAAACAGCGATTCCTTTTCCTACCCCTGCACTGGCACCTACCAACAAACCAACAACAAAATATTACTATCGGGAAAAATAACTTTATTTAAAATCTCATTGCGTCATGCATATTTCGATAAAATATCAAAATACGCATGGCTTAATCCGCGATAATATAAACATACATTATGCAAGAGCTAACTCTGTCTATTGCAGGTCTTTCTTTAGGCCTGAAATGTTATCTAAATTATTAATTAGACATTAATTAACCTATCCAGACCATAATCAACTCTAGTGGATTATGAGCCGATTTACTGCATAACTTTCCTTCACGATTTAACGACTATACAGACCATAATCAACTCTAGATGGCATCGCTAGCCTGTGAACTTTAGTGGATTATGAGCCGATTTACTGCATAACTTTCCATCACGATTTAACGACTAAATGGATAACCGAGACTATGCTGTTTATCGTACTGACTTTAGTAATGGTGATCGAAGCTAGGTGGAAATTTCAATCGATTAGTTCTCGGTGAATAGTGGATCAATTTGAATGAAATTGTCAACAAATTGCCTTTAGATTATCTAGTTTTTAACTAATATAGTGAAAACTGCCAAGTCATTATCGAATCTCCCATAATGTATCTTTAAGAAGATAAAATCAAAATACCAAGGCTAGATTATCTCCGGGTTGGATTCAATCGGATTTAAAACAATCCCATCAAATATGGCTTATTACATAATACAAATCGAGTATATTCTTTGTATGTACTAAACGGAATTGGGCTCATAATCTTATTAGAAATCAACTTTGACAACATTGCAGTTATAATGAGATTCATGGTATCTTTAAAATGACTGTTTCTATGCAGAGAACGAGGTCTATGTGGAGATAAATAAATAATCAGTGTTCTATAATGGAATAACCATACGCGTAATTTATATGTCTATTATTGGATTATAATCTGCTGTTAGTAGATTTTAATTTTTGGATTTGGCTACCATTTGGCTGGCTTACCTAGAGGTCCCTTGTTCGAACCCTGTGTTGACCGAGAAAGTTGGGTGGCCGAACGATTAACGCGTGTGCGTTTGATATCAAGGTCTGTCATTGAGTCAAGCGGCGTTGTTTCGAATATCCCCGGTTGTACGTGGCCTGTTCAACCTCGTGGATTTTCTCTGGGTCCTCAGGTCTGGCCCCACCGCTAAAGCCCAGTACGCGCCAGCGAATTATCCGAATTGACCTCTCTCTCTCTCTCTCTCTCTCTCTCTCTGTGTGTACTAACCTGTTATAATGATAACTTTATCTTCTAATGATGCCATGTTAGTATTCAAAGCTCCTCTATTTTGATTTCTCTATGCTCTAATAATAGAAACATGTTACACGGTATAAATATCAAAGCCTCTCTAGTCTTCACAAGGTAATCTGTATTGACTGGATATGTGGCTGGGTATTGCAGTCGAAATCCCTATTCTGATATCTAATGTTACAATATGTAATATTTTGTATTTATCGAATACATATTTTACTTTAATAATAAGAAAGGGCAAAATGAAGGAAGCGGTGGTCTGCAAATAAAGTAATGGTGTATGGATCCATAAAGTTTAGCAGAGTTTTCCAGCGTGGTTTCTCCTTGTCAGTAGTGTAGGACGGGGGGGGGGGGGCAGGGACAATGTCTAATCGGATAGGACAAAAAACCGAGGCTACGTTTGCGCACATGTGTCTAGTACCAGCGAGAGATGAAATTCAGAATAAAAGTAGGTGCAGAAATGTTGAACGTTAAATCCCATTTCATTTCTTTTCTTTTAGTAGTGTAGGACAGGATAGGGGGTAATGACAATGTCTAGTCGTTCGGATAGGACAAAAAACCGAGGGCACATATTTGCGCACATGTGTCTAGTACCAGCGAGAGATGAAATTGGGAATAAGAGTAGGTGCAGAAAAGTAGAACGTTAAATCCCATTCCATTTCATTTCTTTCGATTCTCTAAGAAAAACATAATAACTTTTCTAAAAATAATTTCAAAATCTCAGTCACTGATGGTTTACATTCACTCAATAACACCAAATTTTGTGATCAGTTGGTTCGATATTCGACACCATGCCATTGTGTATACAAATGCGATTAACTTTACATTACATAATGATTTGAGCAGTATACCCTCCATACATACAGTCTACATAATCGCCACGGGGCTTCGTTGCAACTTAAATCAGATGTATACAGTTAAGCCATTGTGATAATGGTGTTAAACTTTTCTTAAGGCTATGAGACAATGTGTGATTTTATTATCATTTGATCAATTGATTTACTTTTACGGAAGCTGTTAGTTACATTACGTTACAATTATGTATATGGAGCCTTTTGTTCCATTGTGACGAGAAGTGATGATAACGTGCAAATGACCTATATACTGTAGGTCTTTATATATTCGGGGTTGTCTATGTTGCTCAGTTTAGCTATTTTAACAGTTATTTATTAGTAATTTGTTGTATATTAAATGTTAAAACTCTAAAGCTTTCAATATATAAGGAGAACAGAATAAATTATAAACGGGTCAGTGTGAAAGCGACTGGTATATGTATGTGTTTTATTATACTTTAAGATGTTATTATCATCCGATCAACATTACAGTATTCATCTCAGATATATGATATCAAATCATCGATTATCTTTGAAACAGTGTTATATTTACTAGTCTGTGATAATTCTTTTAATTTTGAAATAGATAGGATTTCGGGATATCCCAGTGGGAGCTGACGTGCCATAACACTCCATAACATTTCATTTCAAATCATCATAACCATCGCATATTAAACCATAGTACATAGTGCATTTTAGAAAGGCATACTCTGATCTAAGGACGTACAAAAACAACAGCCAAGGCAGTTATACATTGTCAGACATTTCAATGTTCTAGTTGTTCATATGGGACAAAAAATCAAGGTCCACCTCTGCAAACGGTTGTAATTCGATGAGGAGTGAGTAGTATATGGAAAACTTTCTACCCATAGTACAACGCATGGCATATGCTCGTAACAATCCCGATTTGCCGAAAAGTAGGAAGTTAAACCCCATTTCACATTTAATAACAGACTACAGCACAATAAAACCATAAACTCCTTAAATGACAAACCGGGTGATCGGAATACGAAAAAAAAAACTATAACATACCTGGTATAGATAAACAGCCCTTATCCCGTAAATTGAGCAGTGGTTATTAAATAACGTATTATATCTACACGAGTCGTTATATAGGCTACAGCCCACCTGAGATGACCCACTCACGTTGTAATATATAACTCTACTTAGCCGACAATATTACAATATTGGCAGTTTTAACTTCCAGAATGTGCATTATTAAAGTAGCTTTTAATTCCATGTAGCTGTTATCCTTGTTATTGTGTACAGATTTAGTTGCCAGCGTAGCTTTATTTATATTAGGATATATGGACACGATCAACAGTTTAATAGTCACGTGTTACCACGCCCCCTTTTGTTACATAGTATCAGTACTGTTGAACCCAAAACAACCTTTCTCAACTGGCAGTTGGATGGTCGAATGGTTTAACGCGCGTGTACTTTAAATTACAAGGCCTGTCAAGTGGCGTGATTTCGATTCCCTCCTTGTACGTGACAAAGAGACGGTTCGTCAGTCAAACCTCGTGGGTTTTCTCCGGGTCTTCCCCCCCCCCCTACTGCTAAAAGACACTACGCGCGAGAGGATTATTCAAAATGAATGGAACCACATATTAGTTGCGAAATGACACTCTCTCTCTATCTCTTTGCTAATAATTTGAGAACAGTATCACATCATGTTTTATTCAAGCACCTACCCTCTCCGAGTAAACCACTTTTCATTTGGTTTTATATAGCGAGAGAGAGAGAGAGAGAGAGAGAGAGAGATGGGGTTTAACGTCCACTCGACACAAACTAGGTCATTTCGGGACTAACATATGGTTATTAATTTTATTTCAATAATTCGCTTGCGCGTAGGGGGTCTTTAGCAGTGGGAGGAAACCTGAGGACCCGGAGAAAACCCTCGAGGTTGGACAGGCGACCCTTCTCCTTGTCACGTACAACCGGGGATTCGAAACCACGCCAGTCGACTCAATGACAGACTTTATGATACAGCGTGCGCACGCTAACCATTCAGCCATCCAACCCCCCGGTTTTATATAGCAAGTCGAAACCTGGTGCAAAATCATGTAAATAGGTTAAGAGATTAATTATTAACAAGGACGCTTTATATCTTTACACCTGGAGACGATGATTTATATAGAGCCGCGGTGGCTTAGTGTGTAAGGTTCTGGTCAATATAGCCAGGAAATCGCGGGTTTGATCCCGGTGTAGAAGTTGATGTGCAGGTCAAAGAACCCAGGGAACTTGGAACTGGAAATAACAGTAGACTGTACCTCAGCATTCCTGGCACAATTTTCCTTAGCCCGGTTTGTGCAGAAAATTAGGACGTTAAATCCAACTTCATCTAATTTATATAATTGATCAAATATACATTTTACTGGATGACAAAAAAAAATAAAATAAAGAAACGAACTCACTAAAACGATTCACTAAACATGTGTAGTTATAGATTGTATTCAAATTAATCGTATATTAACTAGACCGATGACGTCAGTCTGGGTTTACTAATGACGCCATGGCCAATCAGGCACGACGTTTCGAGTATAAACAATACACGTTTTCCACTTTATTTCTCTTGTCCATATCTTTTGCAAATAAAACATTGCTTGGATTTTAGTTAGATGAAGTTTTAGCTATTACCGTCACAGCACAGTACACAATTGTAGTTTTATAGTGTTGATAATACCCTATAGTTTCGAGTTATGTGAATATTTAATGCACTGAATGGAGGTTATTTATGTTTTTGTGTTTACGGTCACCAGCCTGATCCTCATTACCCATTTCCTGTAAATCGGTATTGTTGTGGTTTTCTACACACATATTCCGAGATTATTAGGTATCAGTGCGAATCGGGTACTCGGTAATTAAGCTAGAGATGCTTGAAAATAAATAATAAACGTTTTACGGTATTTAACATGACATAACTAAGGCTATATAGAATGCGCGTATCCAGGTAGGTTACTAAACAATTAATACATTGCATCGGAAAATAATAAAATATGTGAACGGAAACACGCACACACCGACGGGCGGGCAGACGGCATGACACGTACACATGAAAATGTGGGTGTTAAAAAACATTATGTTAGTCTAAAATCAACGCGAAGTTGTTGACTATTTCAGATAATATGATAATTTCCGAATTATTCATTAATAATTACTTGAAGAAATGAGAAATGAAATGAAATAGGATTTTACGTCGCATTGTTCTGTTACGACCGGGCTACCGAAGACTACGAGAGAATTATTGCCCGGACAGCGGCGCTACGGCCTACATTTATATCAAATTCCAAATGCCAAGGATTCTCTTACGTCGACGTCAATGTGTACACGGGGCCTTGGTTTTTCTTCCCATTCATTGTCCCTTGCCGGGCCATCTGTCCTGCAACAATAACAAGGTTAAACATGGCGAACTTTCTCGGCCAACACCGGGATCGAACAGGATACGTTCAGGTTAGCGAGCCAACGTCTTACTGCGGCTCCCACAAACGAGAAACTTTAATAGACTTTGATACCTAAAACTAAACAAAACGACCCAAGAAGTTTTAAAAAACCCGCAACACAAATTTTGTTTGTCGTAAATTGATTAGCTGTATTACAAACAACCAGAATTAGGGCTGAATATGCCTGAAATTTTTCCATAATTTTATCTATGTATTCCAAGCTATAATGTGACAAAGGCTGAATAGTGAAAGGTAAATGTAATGGGGTACAAATTACCTTCAAGAAACAATTAGGGTTTAACGTCCACACGATAAAAGGTCATTCGGGACTATAATGTGATTCAATTTTATTTCAATAATTTCGCTTGTCCGTGGGGTCTTTAGCAGGTCTTTTTGGCATCTTAATGATCCGACAATATTACTAACCCAGAGTTGGAATCCCTTCCAATCATAACCCGAAACACATATTGATTGTTTCTTTTTCTGGACAAGAAAATGCAATACAGGCTCATAATCTGGACTCTTTAGAATGGGAAGCAGATTTAGTGTAGCACCCATTTTTTATGATCTTTTGACCAATTATAATGTGTGTATTGTTGTGTATTGTTATGTGATCGAGGAATGAACCACAAATATTTTGAGTAGTAGATCATTGTTGTAGTTTGGATAATTGTTGATTTATGCAAATTTTTGTTCCCAAAATTTTTCACCAAAATAATACGCACCTTCACGTCAAAAACATGCAATTTTGGTAGAAACGCACAGGCTGTTACATGTAAGACTGTCATGTTTGGATTCAACAGACAATTTCACTTCTGAAATACCTAACCACCCCAAAGCATAAATAAAGTGGTCTGATCTCCTGAACCAAGGGCTAACACTTTCATAAAGTTCTTGACATTTGCTGCTGAATGAAATTGTACATGTTTTAGCCATTAATCAACCCATGTGCGTTTTCTTTTACGATTTAGTTTTTACTTTGAGTTAAATATTGATGCACTATAATCTATTTAGTGATTAGGGTCAATCAAGGGTTTAATCCGATCCTGAACTGCAGTCTTTACTTTATAAGAATTGTATCGTATTTATTATTTACTGTAAATAAGTTGCATTCAGTTGTCGGTATCTACAGTTCTGTACATATTTTTTGTCTGTGGATCGTATGATCGTATTTAATATGTTTTCTCCTGCTAGGGGATACTTTACATTCCATTATTCTATCGTTGTATAGTGATCGTTTTGAATTAAATCCTGAATTATCCTCATTAAAGATGCATGAACCACTTCATATGTGAATCCCGAATAACTAGGTGAAAAACGAATAACAAACACCTCGTTATTCGTTATTCACCGCTTGAATAACAATCTGGTTTATTTACCGACTATACGTCTACTAATGAGTTTTCCACTGCTAGGAGATACTTTACAATTCATTATTCTATTGTTGTATAGTGATCGTTTTAAATTAAATCCTGAATTATCTTCATTAAAGATGCCTGAACCCCTTCATATGTGAATCCCGAATAACGAGGTGAAAAACGAATAACAAACAGCTCGTTATTCGCTGCTTGAATAACAATGTGGACTGTTTTCGTCTAGAAGTCGTTTTGCTGTCTTTTATACTACTGGGGGATACTTGACATCCATAATTCTAGTCATGGCTAGCTGTATATTTGATTCACGAATAAAAAGCTGAATAACGAATAACAAGGTGGCGTATCCCTCGTTATTCGTTATTCGTTATTGGTGAATAACGATTAACGAAAAACGACCCAACATCACACTGCCATGATCTTATCACTGAATAAATAATTGTTTTATTCCAAAGTCTGACGTTAAAGACGTGAGAACACTCGTCGAAAACGCGGAGTCATATCATATCATATATATATATATATATATATATATATATTTCAATCGGGTATTATGATCATTGGTATACGTGTTCTCTATTGTGCATTAATGGTGGACATGAATCAATAATCGATTGTAAATTTAACAACTCATTTATATAATATTATATGATATTTATTTCAGTATATTAAAGATGCATTATGTAAAAGCTAAATCTGCTTAATGTAGGTATTTCTGTTTTCCTCAAATGTTATACAAAATATTAATTAGATATTTTTTTCACGTGACAACCCCATAATTAACTCTCTAGATAATCGGATGGATGTGATTTTGAACGGATTGAAACACGATCGCCATTTAACAATATAATCTTAAAATAGATAACCGAGACTCTATTGTAACAATGGTAGCAATGACAACGAGACTACGCTATTCTTATCAAAACTTTTAGCATTCATAACTTCATTCAGAATAAAGTCATTAACCTGAATTTTCAACAATTATTCCATTTTTCATTATCCACTTTTAAACTAACATTGTCTGTCTTTTTCTATAAATATTATATAAAGGATCTTTAAATGACAATCAATTGAATAAATACAATGGTTGTGATGCAATATGAAATGGTAATGGAATGTGTTTTTATAAGAGATGCATTTAGACGAGCCACCCAACTGAAGGACGACATTGCATCAGAACGTACATGAGATAATGAGTATGAGCTTGTATCATTCCCAACCTTTAGTAAGATATATTCCATGGTTCACCGTGATTCATCTGATGATGTTTAGTGTTTCATTAAAAGCAGAAATCTTATCGTTGGAAAAGAACACTCCCTTTTACACTGTTCAGGAATGTGGAAAAGGTCAACGAGAAAGTCTTTTGGGTTCGTGGTTATGCTGATGCTGTTATAGCACTTTTTGAAGATACAGAACAACAATCTAAATATGTGTTCGGGTTGCGATTGGCAGGGATTCGAACTCTAAGTCTTTAATATTGGCTGATCATAGAAAGGTCAACGAAACTAAAAATCCGGTACTATTATTGGAGCCAAACACAGACAAGTTTAAACCCTTCTGGAAAAAATGGGCTACCGATTCTTTTACTTTTGGTGCCGGCAGTCAAGTTGGAGAGGGAGTAAATCTTCAGTGGCAAGGGTCAGCGAATGTTGCTTCTATTAGATATGTATCTGTCAGAACACTGGATATATATCCTATAGAATATATCCTAGACATATCCTGCAGTAAGGTTCCTATAATATAACTAACAGTATGGGACCTCAAACATTTTATATATTTATTTATTTTTTAATGTGTTTATTTATTCTCCTTTTAGTGTATCTTTATAGTAGAGTATATAAATGTCACCAATGTCTTAGTAGTATGTGTTTCATGTTATGGGGATCACTGTGTTGGCTGAGGAAGTACCTTGTGATTTGGGAACGGTAGCGTGCAAGACGGAGGAAAATGTAAGCGTATATATAGTTTTCCCCAGACAGTCGTACAAGACCGAGGAAAATTTTAACGTTGTTTCCTCAACCAGTTGTGCAAGACAGGGGAAAATGATGAAACCACTAATGTTCAGCGAATAAACAAAACAACATTTGCAGAATTATCAGCTTAAATCAGTGGTTCTCAACCTTTTCTGGCCAACGGCTTACCTTGGAACACATGAGAAAATAGCGGCACACCTGGCTTAATATATATGAAAAATATTTGAATTTTGAAAAATAAAAACATGGCAAGACACAGACTAGTCATAGACACAAAGAATGACCCAAACTAAATAAAGAAAAACACAGCTATGTACTTACTTTATTCCAGTATTTCGAATTTCATTTTGGAAGATCTCGCGGCACACCTGTGTGCCGAAAAACACTGGTTCAGAATAACTGGGTTAAATCCATGGAAATATTTTGGGCATATTCCGCCTTAATTTATGTTGTTTGTAATTTGCTTTTTGGAGTTTTAAAAAGATCTCCGGTAGTTTTGCTTAATGTTAAGTATCAAAGTTTCTTAATTATTCATAATGTGTACGGGAGCCATGGTTCCGTGTTCGATCCCCGTGTTGACCGGCAAAGTTCAACGGGAAATTTTCTGTCGTGGTTTCCCGAGTTGTGCAGAATGGCGGCGTTTATACATTGGCGTGCACGTAAACGAACCCCTGAAATTCGATATAAGAGTTGAGCGGGAAAGTTCAGCCTGATATTTTGTCATGGTTCCTTCAGCTGTGAAGCGCGGCGGTATAGTAGTTCGTATGGCACGAAAGACCGAGATCGTGTGTACACATTGGCGTGCACGTAAAACAACCCGTGTTCATTAGCCCAGTAGGGCGTTAAACTCCATTTCATTTCATAACGTGTAAATACGCTACATCACGCATAGGCAACAGCTTTTCGCATTTTGAGAATAACCTGGGGCGAATTTGGAGATTCATTTTAAGTCGAAGAAATCAAAAGTTTTATATTACGATATTCAGATGGATATACCTATGGATAATAATTATGTGACGTGATTAATCTAGTGTAACTTGGGTATATCTTAATTATCTTAATTACAGAAGCATACTCTTGGTTACCGAAGTATAATACATAAAATTTATGTTTATTAGCTCAATTAGATCTATTTGATCTGACCACACAAAAACATCCGCATGGTAGCAGTGGATGTTGTGTACAAAAGTGAAATGGGGCTTAACGCCAGGTCCTCTGTTCTGCACATGGCAAGCGGTAAACACGCCGGAAAATCCCGATGAATTTTCTCGGCCAACACAAGGACGGACGACTGGACCTCCATGTTAGCGATCTAATCTCTCACTCACTGAGCCACCGTGGCTTGTTGTGTAGAAGTACGTGCCGGAGTCAAGGGTAAAATAAATCAAAGGCTTTTTCGAATATAATGTTCGAAAACTTTTATTATGAGTGTATGCGTGTTCTGCTTGGTCTTTTGATAACACACTAAAGAATTTGCATGGACGCTGAGGCATTACTAAAATGGACAAATTTCCCGCGAGAATGAACGGGTGCAAAATGTAAAACCCCATGTCCTATCATTTCATTTCATTATCACGACATGGCAGCCCACAACGTTAGTTGTTGTTTTAATGACATATTGAATAACTGAAATATCTGGCAACACACTTTCAGTCGCATCCTTTGAGAGGGAGCATCGTCTTGACTAGATTCTTCCTTGAGATAAACACCATTTGAGAGGGACTAACGTCTAGACTAGATTCTTCCTTCACATAAATACCATTTGTAATCAGTATAACGAAATGCAATGAGCTTAGCGTCCTACTTTTCCGCGCCAACGGGTAGCAACCAGGGAAGCAATGCTACGGCTTGCTCTTATTTCGATTTCCAACAGTCAAATATCCTTTTACATGCACATCGACGACTAGGTATGGTTTCTTGCCAGGCCCTTTGTTCCGCATTAGTTACAAGGGGTAAACCGCGATCGAGAATCTCTTGCAACTGTCTCAGCCAGTACCTAGATCCAACTACGTATCGTTTGATCCACCGTGGCTCCCATCAGTGTAGCGTTTCTACAGAAGCACAGACGCGTTTGTCAGTATTCTTCCCACTATTTCACTGAAATTAAATGGGGCTTAACGTCCTACGTTCCTGATTCGACCGGCTTAATTAAGACGGTTATGCGTCATGCAGTATGCTTTGAGGGAAATTTTGCCCGGACAGTGGCGCTACGGCCTACTCTTATTTCGAATTCTTACTGCCAAGGATTCTTTTACGTGCACGCCAATGTGTACACGAAACCCGGCTGTTCCGTCCCTCTCGAACGACCCTATCGCGTTCACAATGTCTACATTAAAAGTGTGCGTGTGGTGGTGGGGGGGGGGGCTCCAGAATAGAATGTCGTAGTATTCTTTTATTTGAGATGCATGACAGGTCCTTGGGCCGGCGTCACCGACTATGGTAATTGAATTGGATTGATATGAGGTTTAACGTTCCACTGTGCTGCTCTGACTTGGCAAAAAAGGGACAGTTTGTCCGGAAGGCGGCGCTTAGGTCTTACTTTTCCAGCTGCCAAGGCGTATGCCCGTCTTCTTTAGACCAGTCGGAGCAGAACAGAAGGACGTTAAACCCCATTTCATTTCACAAACACGGTTAATAATGGTATCATTAAGATAAAAATGTTAAAATTAAATCATGACTTGCTATGATAATCGTTACCCAATTTTATGTTACATTTGCTCTGATCTTTTCCAGAAAACACTGGCCCCTGGACCACATTAGCTGATTTCAATGATTACATTAACCACCCTCTCCTGATCGCAAATCCGTGCACCATGACGGATTTCAGTGACCTGATACCCCAACACCCCACCCACACACAAACACTGATAATGGAACTAGTCTGATAACTTGACCACCTTAGCGGATTTCATTGATTTGTTACTCACACTGGTAACCGTTACCGAGAGAGAGAGAAAGAGAGAGAGAGAGAGAAATAGAGAGAGAGAGAGAGAAATGGAGTTTAAAGTCTACTCGACACAAACTAGGTCATTTCGGAACTAACATATGGTTTAATTTTATTTCAATAATTCGCTTTTGCGTAGGGGTCTTTAGCAGTGGGAGGAAACCGGAGGACCCGGGGAAAACCCACGAGGTTGGACAGGCGACCCTACTCCTTGTCACATACAGCCGGGGATTCGAAACCACGCCAGTTGACTCAATGACAGGCCTTATGATACAGCACGCGCGTGCTAACCATTCGGCCATCCAACCCCCCGATTACCGATACCGACCTGATACCTTGGCCAATGTAGCGAATCTCATTGATTTAATAACTCACACAGCTTAGCAAAAAGCACCAACAACGTTCATAACTACAACGTACAGCAACACTCGAGTCATACAAGATCAGTGTACAGCTGCTTAAGTATCTATTTTCTTCTTGCATCATGAGTTTGGACTCTATATTTACAGAGCAGTCCTATAACACGTCAAAGCATCAGCGGATGCAAATAGTTCACACCTACTACAGACAGTCCAGATCTGTTCATCTTAACACAAAGAAAATATATTGAATGCTGCAATTATGGTTTATTTCTTTAATGGTGTTTGTTTGTTACATCACTTAGTTATAATAATGCAATCACCATGGATATTAGTTTCTTCGAATTTTGCTCAACAGTGCCATCAGCCTGGCAACTACGTCAGTGGCTTCGTTGACAGTTGCAATGGCTTCTTGCTTGATGTTCCCCAAATCCGCCTCTATCATCGACACATTACATCCTGGGTCTACAAAACACGTACAATACAGTGCATTTCTATAACACAAAATGCTTTCAAGATTTATTTTAGTGATATATACGGGTTCTATTTTTGAAAAAATAGAATACATTTTAATTGCTTTGGTACATCGGCCGTCCAAATGACAGAATTTATATTCTAATTGCATTCCTAATGATTAACGAATCTTTTTACAATTTGGTGTCTGGTTGTCTTTGTTGGGAATGAATCTTCAGTTCATTTGCATTTTCGAGTCCAATGCTACAACACATGTATCAAATGTTTTGTGAATGCCACGAGGACATCCTGGAGGCAAGTGGATATTTTTTATCTAAATGGTTTCAAGATAATCACCACACGTATTATGGTCATATGCTGAATTTCACTCATTGGTAAAATGATGAATTTCAGTAATTTCGTAAAATGTTCCGATTTTTTCCCATTGCCATCTGTACATCTATTCATAGTTGAATGGTGAATTAGAGCATTGCATTAATCATTAAAATGTTCGTATTACTTTCCAATAATTTAATAATGACCAACAATCAAGTCAGTTAATTATAAGTGATGGTTGCTTTGTACTAGGTAGGAAATTCTCCTTCGACCTAGACGCCATGTGACCATTTCAACTGAATGAATTACACAGATGGGACCGATGTTAAGACTAAGAAAACAACAATACCTGAATTCTGGTCATCAACTACACATGATACAGCAGCGACAGAAGAACATACTCGTCTGGGATAGAAAGTCCTGCAGTCAGCTAAACTAGTTTCATTACCAGCACATGTATATATTTTATTTATCATGGTTCTGTTGACAATCGAGTATTGTCCGGGTAGAAGTCGACCACCTGATGGAAATCCCAACTCACTACAAACCACATTTACGGCATTCTGATCAAAACCATCTCGACAAATTGTTTTATATTCTCTGTTGTCGTACACCAAAACAGCACCAGTTGAATTTCTGTATCCAGTGTCCAGTCGAACTTAAACCAAAATATTAACATAAGTTAAGTGAAACGGGCACCCAGAGAGTATTGCTGAACCATTCCGGGACCAAACAAAGCTTACAATAATAAGAGGCTAACACTGCGAATACATAATCCAAATACATATAGATGAATAAATTCTGCCCGACTGAAATTTTACTGAATTGATCTGTAACTGTGCTATGTAAAATAGTCATATATGCAAATTAGTGTACTAAATTCCAGACAACTACATGTATGTTTAAAGTCTACCTCAATGTTGAATTTTAAATATCTAGAAAACAGAATTTTCATCAAATATAAATCAACTTCATTTGTCTGCTATATACAGCAGTGTATGGACCTTCCGTCCAATACTTCTAAGGTTAACCTAAAATATTTTTTAAAAAGTAATTAACGGAATTCCGCAAATCGGACACAAACGTTATGTGTAACTCGACTATTAGTGTACCAACTTCTTATCAAATACGTCAAAATATATCTTCAAAATTCCTGAAAACAGAATTTCCATTAATCTTAATTCAACAAAGAGCCATAAATCAGTAAACAAATAATGGAATCCCATGAATTCTATACTCGATCGATCTACATTTCTGCTATATACCCTCAATCGAATGCCTGACATATTATTAGGGCTTTAAAGTTATTACATGTCTGTATTGATTTCATATAATTAAATGAGGTTTAACGTCCTACTTTTCTACAAAAACTAGGCTAATGAAGACAGGGATTTCATACAACCAGCCTCGTATATCAGACACAAATCTTGTTTAGTGTGAACCTGTTAATTATTTATGAAGGTTTAATTAATATTCAGATTGTGCTTAATTGCATAGTAACAAGAGTCTTAAGTCTACATTAAAATAATAATTTATTTATATAATCTTGACTTGGGATAGTTGTAAATACTATGGAATGTCGAGTCTTTAATTTAGAAAACTTTAAAATTCAAAATATTAACTCTATGAGGAGGTCGAAACATTTAATAAAGTAACACGGCAAATTTAAATGCTACATATGGTACCAAATAAGCAATATACCGATTGATATTCAAAGCACAGTATACGAGACAATTAGCATACACCTACCTGATCCATAGCAATATACAGTTTGGTGTCCAAACTGACAATCGCGTTGAAAACTCCATCCTTCGGATCTACATTGGTTTAGAGGACGTCCGTATGTTAAGCAACGGAAGACATTCGCCCAAAATTCATCTCTCAAACTACTGGTTCTAGGTAAGATTTCGAGGTCTCCAGCTTTATATCCAAATTGTTGACATATCGCATTGACCGCATCACCGTAAATATCATTAGGAATGCAAAGGTAGGCCCACGTATTGTTGTATAGAATCTGTACACGGCCGTTATTAGAGTTAGTACCAATCAACCTAAGTGGATTTGCTGAGATATAAAAGATACACACAATAATTTATAGATTTGTGAAATTGTGGACCTTCCAGACATAAATAATAAACTAGTACTAACGTACAGTGCACCAGCAGCCGAATCCGACGTAAACGTAGCAATCGTCGAATGAAAGGCCGACCGTCGATGCGAAATTGACCACAGACAAAAATACCAAGTCTCATGTCGATCTTACATGAATTGCCAGAGCTTTTATATAGCCTTTTTCGAGGAACATCGCCGAACAATGACTAAAAAGCAGTTTCGGGCAACACTTTTCAGTAGTGAATACTTACACTACTAAAAGATAGCCACACAAAGCGTGGAATACGCCCGCGCAGCAGCCTCGTCGCAACTGCAGCTTATCCCAAAGGAAAACTTGCATGCTTTGCAAATCTGATAAGGATGTGGGATCCTTGACGAAATCTTACCTCTAGTGTTCATCCTCGATAGGGATCGATGACTTCAATGCTTTAAGCCAAATATGATCCATGACAAAATTATAGCCGTTATCAAGTTCACAAGGGTTTTTGGAAAAGGGAGCATAACTCTGTAATATCGATAGGCTTCAATTTCTCATGACCCCTGTGCATCACACCAAATGAGAAAAAAAAATCTCTTAAAATCTATAGCCTCTGTCATGTTCACAAGAGTGGGGGGCCTGGACTCATGAACGTAAAGTCGCAGAACGCTTAATATCGACAGGGTTCGTCCTCTCATGACCCCAATGCTTCCCACCAAATTTGAAGAAAACCGTCCAAAAGCTAATTATTGACGGACCGACAGAGGGGGAGACGACATAATACGCCCAGACTTAAATGTGGGCCTTTTAAAATGCACCGCACACACAGCTGAGAGATGCGTGCCAATTTATGGAGATATTTCTTAATGAAGCGTGATATGCAAGTTTAGTCATCTGGAACCCTAAAGGTATATAATTACGTCTCTAATTACTGAAATACTATGACACTATACGATCATATATCCACCAAAAACTCCCAATCTGTAACTAGTCAAACATTCATCAGTCATAGCTGGTAGATGCGCGACAATTTATAGAGAATGAAATGAAGTGGGGACATTAAAGAGGACTTCATAATGAAACGTGGTGTGGGAGTTTCGTTATCTGGGTCCCTAAAGTTATATAAAGACGTTTATAATTACTGAAACGGGACACACGCTGCAAAATCTTACATGCACAAAAAGCTCCCGATTTGTTGGTAGGCAAACATTTATCAAACATTAGACCCTTTCGGTCGAAACCTAGCTGAGAGATACACGACAAATTATGGAGACTACTTAATGAAGCGTGGTATGCCAGTTCGGTCATCTGGGTATCTAAAGTTATATAAATACGTTTCTATTATTACTGAAATACTAAGGAAACTACAAAATCTTACATCCACAAAAAGCTCCCGATCTGTCGGTAGTTGAACATTCATCGGTGTATTGTACATCACAGGACCGTATGTTCCGCTCTTCGCCGGTACATTCTACTGTATACTCAATTGGCGTATTAACGACTGGCCTGGGAAGAGTCAGAGCAACCCCATATAGATAACCAGCCTCACGACAAGCCACCTGTACCTCGTAATCACCCCACTGATCGGGACAGATCACCCCCCATGTTCCATTATTGTATATTAAAACCTTGCCGTCTGGATTAATAATAGTATCACCATCTTGATCTAAAACAAAAACATAAATATTGTTCACGACATTTTATTTCTTACAAATCGGTTAGGTTAGGTTGAAAATCCCCCTACCGCTTAAATAAACATGCTCCTTTATTTAATAACGCCAATGACTGACCCGGCAATACCATATTCGCATTATACATTGATTTTTATCAAATAGGCTAAGAAAGCACCAATAACTTCCTTTCCAATCAAATCCCCAACTTGATATAAAATACATAGGTAGTTATGAAAGTGAGCATCAACAATTACCCAAGAGGTAATTAATAACACTTCGACTTAATACTTTTCTCAACTTTATAATTAATCGAATTTATACTTAGTTTACGCCTTACAGTGAATGCAATGCAAGCAATGGTTCATTCTACATAGTTTACGTTTCAGCAAGCACCATCTCCTTGTTGTCTTCAGACACATTTCGTATGTTTAAAAACATAGTCTTATTCTTATCAATAAAAGCTGTCGCGCGCTTTGTGTATTGAACCATTCATCATATAGAGTTTATATAAAGGGCCTTTGTGTATCAACAATGTAACTGTTCAGGGGCAATAACTCTAAACTGTATTTGTGAAATTATTCAACATGGCCACGAAAAGTTTGTACTCCAATGCTACCTATTTCTGAAAATTTGTAAAGAACTGAATCCTGTAGAATAAGTACGTGTAAAGGAAAGGTGCGTATAGAAACAATCTATTCCAGAAGACATAACACCAGAATTACTTTCTGCGAAAACGTTCATACATTCTCCCACAATGACAATTTTCCGAAAATCGATTGAAAACACAACGCCCTGAATTGTGTGTAAGATGACATAATCTGACCCACAATATATAACTTTAAAGGCCTTTGCATTATTTACGGACAAGAATAAAACTGCTTACATTGTTTTGGTGTGATAGTCAATGAAAATCCAGTCCCGGTTAAACTTCCATCACTACTAAATGATATCTGTACGCAACCCGTGTATGTAGTCACTAGATAAAAATGTCAAAAATAGTAAAATAAATATAGTGTATTTACTTTTCTTGAAAACGGAATCCAAAAATTGCGAAGAAAGACGTACTAGTGGAGAGTGCCATGTACGAGCCAGACTGTGCTTACTCTTTTCAAAACATCTGATACTACTTTAAATTGCTTCAATGGCATTCAATATTTGAGCTTGAAATATACAGGTCCCAGTTCTATGGAATACGGATGAAATGAAATGGGAGTTTAACGTCCTACTGTTCTGCTCCGAACTGGGCTAATGAAGACGGACATACGCCATACAGTGTGCTATGAGGGAAATTGTGCCCGGACAGCGGCACAACTATCGAATTCTAACTGCCAGTGAATCTTTTACGTTCACACCAATGAAGACGGGACCTCGTTTTTTTTTGTCAGGCCCTGCGTCCAGCATCACTGACATGGGGGAACCACATCGGAAAATCTGGATGAACTTTCTCGATCGAACATCCGACATCCAGACTAGCAAGCAGATGTCTTACACACTTGGCCATCGTGACCCCTGTATGGAATACAATTAATGCTTGAAACGTCGCTCAGTAATAGGGAGTAATTAATTGTATTTCATAGAGGTGTGACATGCGTATTATACTACCTTGTCATGGATATTTTGACACGTTTTGAAAGCCAAATTCACGTACTAGTACACTACTTTGTCACTGTGTATTTAAAGTGAAGATTACATATTTTCTAAGAAAGTGAAAAAAATAATTATTATGTTGCTTAATAGGTTGTCATATCACTATTATAAAATCGTAGGAATCATTCTACTACACATAATTTGATATATATTCTATTCGCCGACGGTATTTGGAAATGCCATCATTTAAACCGTAACTAAGTCTGCATAATAGAAGTACCTCGGTTACCTCCATTGCTTGGATCAATGACTTCATTTGTTTTGATGGCTAAAAGGAAGCTTTCAAAATGAAACACATTTTTGTCAGTATATCAACCGACAATAATCAATTTATAGGATTATTCCTAAACAAGATAGGCCTGTGTATAGATGCAATTTATATTGCGGCTTTATTTTAACACACTTTAAACATATGACGTAAGAAAATGCAATTTTCGCTTTAAGGACTTCAAATTTGAATTCTTAATACATTGGATTCTATTAATGTCAATCATCATAAACAGTCATACAAACCTTCGAAATTCCATTCTGTAAAACCACAGTATTTATTCCTTTGAATTGTCAACACATCAAAGGCGCACGATGATGTACGTTCAATATCAATTCTAGTAATATTAACAAGAACGCCAGGAGTATTAGTACAAACTGTCCATGTACAGTTCTGGTTGTTACCATAGTTACCTCCAGTACCAGGATGATCTATTGTAGTTATATATCCCTGTCTACTCTCTAATGCACAAACTACACAGAAAAACAACAAAATATACAAATAGTCAAATAAACTAAACACACACACATATTGCCCCACCAACTACAAATCCTAAAATCTCCATGTGAAATAACCTCTTTCTATTTACTCGACGAATGGTAATTAAACTCACCGTTGGTACTACGTGGTCTTGATGTAGTCGAAGTGGGACGGGTTGTTGTGGCAATAAAATCTGGAAAGCAAACAATACAAATTGCATAATATACATAATGTTTTCGGTATAATAGTTTAAAACTTTTTGACATGCTAGGACAAAATACAGTCCAGTTGATATAAGGAGGGTTGTTGGGTCGGTACAATCTGAAAATCAAACGATACAAATTGCATAATATACAGTAAGTTAACATGTTGTCTTTTATTTTCACTCAAACATTTAATTTTTTTATGGCTAATGATGACAAGACACTTACTTTGTAGTGGTCTGATTTCTATTCTAAATCCGCTACCAGTGAAACTGCCGTCACTTGTAAAACTCACCCTCACACATCCCTGGATCGTAGCCACTATAGATAAAAACAAGAAAATACATTCATCTGCACTGTAGCTGAGATATCAATTTGCTTTTCCAACGTTAGTAATGCTTTATACTAGTCTGATGAATTGGGAACCTAAGGTGACGAACACTATCGATAAGGCAATGGATCCATGACCTTCCGTTGCCTGAGTTATCCCCCCACTCCCGACCCCCTTTAAGCAGACCGGAAATAGGCTACAATTTTTGTCGGATTGACACTTACTAGTTGTCCAATGATTACTTGCATACTCTTCCAAAAGAGTAGAGGATATTCAGAAACACTACAAACCTGCGGAAATGCGCGGCTGTTTTTATTAGAGGTAACAAGTGTATGTTAATAACAGACCAATTGCCTACACATGAACATAAACAGTTCATGTGGGCGGCTTATCTGACGGTCCCATTTCACTTGCAAAAAAGATTTTTGTCTTAATAATGAGTAATTGCCCCACCAATCCTCAGACATTCAGCAATTCGTCGTGGCATGCTCCTTATCAACCGTCCAATCACGATTTGGAGCAATCTGGTCTACCCCTCTTGCAGTGCCACGACCAATTCTTGCAGTGTTGTCCGTTGACGTTGACGTGGACGAACACGTCTCCCGATCAAATTAAACGTAACACACTAAAGCAAAGATACGCTAAACAGTAAATCTTGTGCAAGAACCAATAGGAAAGCAAACTTGGATAGGATAAACCAGCAAGCGGCAGTTTTCATCAACACTTCCTTGAAGTGTCAAATTTGACAACGAACCCCTCCCACGTGTATGGCGCTATTGCGTGTCGCACATGCAGCTCGGTGGTTCTGTTGGGGCGATAAGTGTCCATGACTATTTATCATATCACAACCTGCATAGGTATTTGCATTTCAATATTCTCTACTTTTTTGAAGAGTATATTTAGGATCTTGTCAACGCTGCCAATCCTTGGAATGTGAAAGAATGCAGACGCAAAAAAGGCTATGACACCACTGTCCTCTTCTATTTATAATCTTATGGTCTAGAATATCCACATCATAGAACAATTTGGTGTGTTGTGTTTTTTCACAAGCTTTACAATTAAATGCAAACTTAGCGATTTTTGAGTTTTTATATTTTACAGGGGTTTTCTAAATGCCCTGATGAAGAATTCCATAAAGTCGTCAAATATTGGAACATAGTTCATAGAATATCATGAGTTCGGAAGAAATTTTTAAGATTTGCGATCGAAAAGGTTTGACTCATCGACCAAATGAAACATTCCTGGAAACACGCGAGATCCAATACGACAACAAATGTTGTCTGTAGAGCGTTCATATAAAACGTTGGATAGACAAATGGAAGATGGCTGCAGGTGAGGTGAGAGCACAAAAATATGTCCTTTGTCGAAAAGATAGCCCGATTGTGCTGGAACAAAGATAACAACGTGATAGAATAATTGTTTATACCTTCAACATTCCTTATTACGAAACCACCACAGTATCTACGACTTTGAATTGTTAGCACATCATAGGCGCACGATGATGAACTTTCAATATCAATTCTAGTAATATCAACACGAACACCAGGAGTATTAGTACAAACTGTCCATGTACAGTTCTGGTTGTTACCATAGTCACCTCCAGTACCAGGATGATCTATTGTAGTTACATTTCCCTGTCTTCTCTCTAATCCACAAACTACACAAAAAAGAAACTAACTATACAAATAGTCAAATGAAGTCATCATAAAGAAAATATAAACTACACATATAATCAAATAAACTTATCATAAACATCGAATTACACCTAGTCAAATGAACTAATCATTAACAAACAACACACTATACAAATAGTCAAATGAATTAGAAAACACGTAACAAACTAAACATTATCAATTATAACCAGCGGCTGCCAGGCAGGATACGCCCACATTTTGGATAGAGAACAAGCGTGATTTTTTGTACAATCAGGGGCAATTATCCAGAAAGTTATGGCCTGAAATGTCCAAATATCAAAAGGGACAGAGATCTTTGGGATATAAAGATATGTTTTAGGTTTATCAAAATCGGATAAAAATTGTGACCCCTACAGGGTCCACACCTTCGTATTACACACTTTACACAATTTGTGTACAAAGAGCGGCCATTTTGTCGGGCAGTTTCATTTCGATTTTCCAGAAATACGAATTCAACCTTCATTATGGTGGAATGGTGATCTATTTAAACGGTTTTTAAAATCGGAAAAAAATTGTGACCTCTAGAGAATCCGCAAGCTAAAATTGCGATTTTTCGAACAATCAGGGGCCAAAATCCAGAAAGTTAAGTTCGGGTAACTGCGATTATCAAAAGGAACCAAGCACTTAGTGTGTAATGGTGGTATATTCACACGTTTTTTTTAAACAAGCTAAAAACGTGTTAATTGCCATAATTCAGGAAGTTACGATCCGATATGTGCGAAAATCGGATCAAAATTGTGACCTTTAGAGGATCCACAACTTTGATTTACCAGAGATTGGCCCGATTTTTACGAAATTCGAACTCAACAAACATTACGGTGTAACGGTGATATATTCGAATGTTTTTTTTAAATCGAATAATAATTGTGACCTCTAGAGGGACCACAAGTTAAACACGCGATTTTGCGTACAATCAGAGACCATAATTCACCCGATATGCGCGAATATTGAAAGGATCCGAGATCGTTGGGTTATAAACTTGCATTTCAGGTGTCATCAAAATCGGATCCAAATTGTGGCCTCTAGAGGGTCCACAACTTTGATATACCAGATGTTTACACTATTTGCGTACGAGGGGCGGCCATTTTGTCAAGCAGTTTTGGTCTGATTTTCATGAAATTCGAACTTAACCATCCTTTGGGTATAAGGGTGATATATTCGAACGTTTTTTTTTAAATCGGATAATAATTTTGACCTCTATCGGGTCCACAAGCTAAAAACGTGATTTTTCGGACAATTAGGGGCCATAATTCAGGAACTCGGACCTGTGGGTTATAAACAAGTATTTCAAGTTTCACAACCCTGATACACAATATTTTGACACTATTTGCGAACGAGGGGCGGCCATTTTGTGTTTGTCAGTTTTTAAGAAATTAGAACTCAACCAACCTTAGGGTGTAACGGTTTTTTTAAATCGGATAAAACAATGTGACCTCTATGGTGTCCACAAGCTAAAAACACGATTTTTCGTACAATTAGGGGCCATAATTCAGGAAGCTATGGTCCGATATGCGCGAATATCAAAAGGAACCGAGATCTGTTTGTTATAAACATACATTTCAAGTTTAAACCAAATCGGATAAAAATTGTGACCTTTACAGAGTTCACAAGTTAACAACGTGATTTTTCGTACAATCAAGGGCTATAATCAATGAAGTTACAGTCCGATACGTATGCCAATATCGAAAGGAACTGAGATCTTAGGGTGATAAACCTATATTTCAAGTTTCATTGAAATCGGATAAAAATTGTGACCTGTAGAGAATCCATAGGACAGGGGCGACGACAACATACGTCCACATGAAAATGTGGTCGTATAAAAAACCTTCATGTGAAATAACCTCTTTCTATTTACTCAAGGAATGGTAATTAAACTCACCGTTGGTACTAGGTGGTCTTGATGTAGTCGAAGTGGCAGTAAAATCTGAAAGGCAAACAAATAAAATTGCATAATATACATAATGTTTTCGATATAATAGTTTATAAACTTCTGTAGGCGATAGTGCCGCTGCCCGGGCAAAATTTCCCTCATAGCACACTGTATGGCGTATGCCCGTCTTCATTAGCCCTGTATAGGAGTAGGACGTTAAACCCCATTTCATTTCATTTCATTTCTTAACATGCTAGGACAAAATACAATCCAGTAGATATAGGAAGGGTTGTTGGGGCGTTTAAATCTGAAAATCAAACTATACAAATTGCATAATATACAGTAAATTAACAAGTTGTCTTTTATTTTCACTCAACCATTTAAAATTTCTTATCGTTATTGATGACTAGACACTTACTTTGTAGTGGTCTGATTTCTATTCTAAATCCGCTACCAGTGACACTGCCGTCACTTGTAAAACTTACTCTCACACATCCCTGGATCGTAGCCACTATAGATAAAAACAAGAAAATACATTCATCCGCATTGTAGCTGAGATAGAAAATTGCTTTTCCAAACCATAACAGAACAACGTTAGTAATGCTTTATACTAGTGTGACGAATTGGGAACCAGAGGTGACGAACCCTATCGATAAGGCAACGTTCCATGACCTTCCGTTGCCGGAGTTACCCCCACCCCCACCCGACCTCATTTCCGCAGACCGGAAATAGGCTACAATTTTTGACGGATTGACACTTACTAGTTGTTCAGAGATATTATGTTTAAAATATATTCAATGCTGCCAATCTTTGGAATTTACAAGAATGCAATCTATGACACCACTGTTCTCTTCTATTAATAATCTCATGGTCTAGAATATCTAGAATGAAGTGTCAAATTTGACAACGAACCCCACCCACGTGTATGGCGCTATTGCGTGTCGCACATGCAGCTCAGTGGTTCTCTTGGGGCGATAAGTTCTTCATCTGTGAACATAATCTCAAAGCATGTCAAGTGTCCATGACTATTTATCATATCACAACCTGCATAGGTATTTACATATCAATATCCCCTACTTTTGTAAGAGTATATTTAGGATCTTGTCAATGCTGCCAATCCTTGGAATGTGAAAGAATGCAGACTCAAAAAAGGCTATGACACCACTGTTCTCTTTTATTAATAATCGTATGGTCTAGAATATCTACATCATAGAACAATTTGGTGTGTTGTGTTTTTTCAAAAGTTTTACAATTAAATGTAAACTTAGCGATTTTTGAGTTTTTAAATTTGACAGGGGTTTTCTAAATGCCCTGATGAAGAATTCCATAAAGTCGTCAAATATTGGAACATAGTTCATAGAATATCATGAGTTCGGAAGAAATTTGGAAGATTTGCGATCGAAAAGGTTTGACTAGTTGACCAAATGAAACATTCCTGGAAACACGTGAGATCCAATACGACAATAAATGTTGTCTGTAGAGCGTTCATATAAAAAGTTGAATAGACAAATGGAAGATGGCTGCAGGTGAGGTCAGAGCATTAAAATGTGTCCTTTGTCGAAAAGATAGCCCGATTGTGCTGGAACAAAGATAAAAACGTTATAGAATAATTGTTTATACCTTCAACATTCCTTCTTACGACACCACCACAGTATCTACGACTTTGAATTGTCAACGCATCATAGACGCACGATGATAATAAACCTTCAATATCAATTCTAGTAATATCAACACGAACACCAGGAGTATTAGTACAAACTGTCCATGTACAGTTCTGGTTGTTACCATAGTCACTTCCAGTACCAGGATGATCTATTGTAGTTACATCTCCCTGTCTACTCTCTGACCCACAAACTACACAGAAAAGCAAGGAACTATACAAATAGTCAAATGAAGTCATCATAAAGAAAATATACACTACACACATAATCAAATAAACTAATCAAAAACAAACAACACATAGTCAAATCAACTAATCATAAACAAACAACACATTATACAAATAGTCAAATGATTTAGAAAAAAACGTAACAAACTTAAAAAGAAATAGTCAAATGAACTAGAAAAAACACAACAAATAAAGAAACATTTAAAACAACCAATGACAAAAAAAACAGTTTACTACACATACACTGGACGGAACAAGTTCCGGGAGTAAACAATATGTTTCAGTAAGTTACCTAACACAACTCTTCACCGTGCAATATTCGGACAAGCAACTAGCGTGTACATGATTACGAGACGGATTTACAAGTAGACATATTAGTTCATTGACCTATATACCGTGGTTGTCCGATATTTCAAGGGCCCACAAAAACTAATTTCTAGCATATAACTTTATTTCAGTGCATAGCTTTGCTCTCAACTAAAAGTCGATATCTCATTTATTTTAAGCACAGTCTAACAAGGCAGTAAAGAAAATAAACACTCAATTAATCCGACATCGTTATTTTCGGAGAAACATGCTGTACTACTTGGGGATTATCAAATTATAAAAAACATTCATGTAATATAACCTCTTTCTATTTACTCGACGAATGATAATTAAACTCACCGTTGGTTCTAGGTGGTCTTGATGTAGTGGTTCTAGGTGGTCTTGATGTAGTTGCCGTGGCAATGAAATCTGAAAATCAAACAATACAAATTGCATAATATACATGTTTTCGATATAATATACTATTCAAAAAAAGTAGGGGATATTTGATTTTGGGGGCATAATACTAAAATATGCAAATGACTACGAAAAAAGTCACTATAGAACCTAACAGAAGAAACATTTCCAGTTACATGTGACGCCCAAACGCACCAATAGCTACCGCATGGAATGCAGGTGATGCTTGGGATCATCATGGGGGTCCAACCCAAGATTTGCACGACTCTGACTTTGAATGTTACAGTCATTGTGGCATTGAATTCCAGGGTGGAAACATCAGTTTAATTGTTTTAGTGACCAGAAAACAAATTTTGATATGCGTCGGCTTACCCAAAATGAAAGGTTACGTGCCCTTGGCATGCTACAGATCGGCACAACACAGGCGGTTGTGGCGCGGACGATGAATGTTTCTCAGTCTGTCATAAGCAGGCTATGGTCCAGATACCGTGATACACAATCTTTACAGGACAGACCACGCTCAGGTCGACCAAGGGCGACAACTCAAGCCCAGGATCGATTTATCCGTACCTTGGCCTTGAGAAATCGTGTCATCACAGCAAATCAGATCAGCGCTCGTCTTCAAACAGACACTGGTGTGAGAGTGAGTGGCCAGACGATTCGGAATCGACTGCATAGGGGTCACCTTCGCGCCCGACGTCCTCGCGTGATCCCTTGTTTGAGAGATCATCACATTCAGGCAAGACGTCGTTGGTGTAGGGATCGTCAACACTGGGATAATCGACGCTGGAGCAATGTGATGTTTTCAGATGAGTCAAGATTCACTGTTGATTTTTTGGACAGACGTAGGAGGGTGTGGCGTCGTCGAAACGAGCGCTTTCAAGACGTTAACGTCATCAGACATGATCGATTTGGGGGTGGTTCTGTTATGGTGTGGGGAGGCATCACTGTTGCTGGAAGAACGGCTTTACATGTTGTTGCAGGGCGTGTTACAGGCCAGTACTACCGGGACAACATCTTGGCAGTCCATGTTGTGCCGTTCGCACGACGTCATGGCCGCCGTTTCATCTTCCAGGATGACAACGCAAGATGTCACAGGGCCAGGATCGTTACAGGTTACCTCCAACAACAGAACATCACCACATTACCTTGGCCAGCACTGAGTCCCGACCTCTCCCCCATCGAGCATGTCTGGGACATGCTTGGACAGAGGTTACGTCAACGTCAACAACGTCCTGCCAATGTCCAAGAACTTGCTGCTGCGTTGCAACAGGAATGGGACAATCTGGACCAAAATGACCTTAGACGTCTCATTAGGAGTATGCCACGTCGGATCAATGCTTGTTTGGCAAACAGAGGAGGATTTACCCGTTACTGACATGGTTGTGATGCTGTGGTAACTTTGCTGTTTGACCCCGGGTATCATTTTACCCTTATAATGGCCAGTCTGTGCCTTACTTAGTCTAACGATCATTTGGAATAAATCGATGAATGTGAACTTCATTTCATTTTGTCATTTGTTTCTTCGTCAGTTTCATTAGGTGACTTTAATAACACTTAAAAATCAAATATCCCCTACTTTTTTTGAATAGTATAGTTTAAAACTTTTTAACATGTTAGCACAAAATACAATCCAGTAGATATAGGGAGGATTGTTGGGGCGTTTATATCTGAAAATCAAACGATACAAATTGCATAATATACAGTAAATTAACAAGTCTTTTATTTTCACTCAACCATTTAAAATTTCTTATCGTTATTGATGACTAGACACTTACTTTGTAGTGGTCTGATTTCTATTCTAAATCCGCTACCAGTGACACTGCCGTCACTTGTAAAACTTACTCTCACACATCCCTGGATCGTAGCCACTATAGATAAAAACAAGAAAATACATTCATCCGCATTGTAGCTGAGATAGAAAATTGCTTTTCCAAACCATAACAGAACAACGTTAGTAATGCTTTATACTAGTGTGACGAATTGGGAACCAGAGGTGACGAACCCTATCGATAAGGCAACGTTCCATGACCTTCCGTTGCCGGAGTTACCCCCACCCCCACCCGACCTCATTTCCGCAGACCGGAAATAGGCTACAATTTTTGACGGATTGACACTTACTAGTTGTTCAGAGATATTATGTTTAAAATATTTTCAATGCTGCCAATCTTTGGAATTTACAAGAATGCAATCTATGACACCACTGTTCTCTTCTATTAATAATCTCATGGTCTAGAATATCTACATAATAGAACAATTTGTTATGTTGTGTTTTTTCACAGGTTTTATATTTAAATGCAAACTCCGCGATTTTTGAGTTTTGACATTGGACAGGGGGTTTTCTATATGCCCTGATGCAGAATTCCATAAAGTCGTCAAATATTGAAACATAGTTCATAGAATATCATGAGTTCGGAAACAATTTGGAAGTTTGCTGTTCAAAATGTTTGACCCGTTGACCAAATGAACAATTCCTACAATTGTTGTCTGTAGAACTTTCATGTGAAAAGTTGGATGGACAGATGGGAGATGGCTGCAGGTGAGGTGAGAGCATAAAATATGTCCTTAATTGTCGACAAGATAGCCCGATTATGCTGGTACAAAGATAAAAACGTGATAGAAGAATTATTTATACCTTCACCATTCCTTCTTAAGGCACCACAGTATCTGTTCCTTTGAATTGTTAATATACATAGTGGATCATCCTCAATATAAATTCTAGTAATAGTAACATTAACACCAGGAGTATTGGTGCAAACTGTCCATGTACAGTTCTGGTTGTTACCATAGTCACCTCCAGTACCAGGATGATCTATTGTAGTTACATCTCCCTGTCTACTCTCTGACCCACAAACTACACAAAAAACAACAACAAAATATACAAATAGTCAAATAAAGTCATCATAAAGAAAATATACACTACACACATAATCAAATAAACTAATCATAAACAAACAACGAATTACAAAGTCAAATGAACTAATCATTAACAAACAACACACTATACAAATAGTCAAATGAATTAGAAAAAACGTAACAAACTTAAAAAAAAATAGTCAAATGAACTAGAAAAAAACACAACAAATAACAAAACATTTAAAACAACCAATGACAAACAAAAACAGCTTACAGTACACACATACATTGGACGGAACAAGTTCCGGGAGTAAACAATATGTTTCAGTAAGTTACCTAACGCAACTCTTCACCGTGCAATATTCGGACAAGCAACTAGCGTGTACATGATTACTAGACGGATTTACAAGTAGACATATTAGTTCTTTGACCTATATACCGTGGGTATCCGATATTCCAAGGGCCCACAAAAACTAATTTCTAGCATATAACTTTGTTTCAATGCATAGCTTTGCTCTCAACTAAAAGTCGATATCTCATTTATTTTAAGCACAGTCTAACAAGGCAGTAAAGGAAATAAACACTCATTAAAGAGCAATTCATAGAATTAATCCGACATCGTTATTTTCGGAGAAACATGCTGCACTACGTGGGGATTATCAAATCATAAAAAAACATTCATGTAATATAACCTCTTTCTATTAACTCGACGAATGATAATTAAACTCACCGTTGGTTCTAGGTGGTCTTGATGTAGTCGAAGTGGGACGGGCAGTAAAATCTGGAAAGCAAACAATACAAATTGCATAATATACATAATGTTTTCGATATAATAGTTTAAAACTTTTTCACATGTTAGGACAAAATACAATCCAGTAGATATAGGGAGGATTGTTGGGGCGTTTAAATCTGAAAATCAAACGATACAAATTGCATAATATACAGTAAATTAACAAGTCTTTTATTTTCTCTCAACTACACACATAATCAAATAAACTAATCAAAAACAAACAACGAATTACACAAATAGTCAAATGAACTAATGATTAACAAACAACACACTATACAAATAGTCAAATGAATTAGAAAAAAAACGTAAGAAACTAAACAATTAGTCAAATGAACTAGAAAAAAACAAGAAATAAAGACAAATTTAAAACAACCAATGACAAACGGCTCACTACACATATATTGGACGGAACAAGTTCTGGGAGTAAACAATATGTTTCAGTAAGCTTCCTGACGCAACTCTTTGCCATACAATATTCGGACAAGCAACTAGGGTGTACATGATTACCGGCAGGACATACACGTTGACATAATAGGCCATTGACCTATATCCCGTAGGTATCCGATATTCCAAGGGCCCACGAAAACTAATTTGTCGCGTATAACTTTGTTTCAATGCACAAGTTTGCTTTGAACTAAAAGTCAATATCTCACTTATTTTAAGCACAGTCTAACAAGCCAGTAAAGGAATTAAACAGTGTAATAAGAAACACTCATTAAAGAGCAATTCACAGAATTAATCCGATATCGTTATTTTCCCCGAAACATGCTACGTGGGGATTATCAAATCATAAAAAAAAACTTACTAAACCAATGGTATTTACACTCACCGTTGGTATTAGGTGTAGTGGAAGTGGGAACGGTCGCCGTGGGAGTAAAATCTGAAAAGCAAACAATAAAAATTGCATAATATACATAGTGTGTCCGATATAATAGTTTAAAACTTTTTAACATGCTAAGACAAATCCCAATCCAGTAGATATAGGGAGGGTTGTTGGGGCGTTTAAATCTGAAAATCAAACGATACAAATGACATACAGTAAGTTAACATGTCTTTTATTTTCTCTCAAATACGTCATCATAAAGAAAATAAGACAATTAGTTATCTAAGCCACAAAACTTACAGTTTGGAGCTGTGGTGGTCACAATAGTTGCTGTCGTGGTAGTTGGGACGGTAGTAGGGATTCGGTTTGGAGGAAAGTGTTTATATCTGGGATCTGTAATTATAAATGTATGGCGATTTTATTGTATGATGTACTGCAGTAGTCATAACCGTAGCAGAAGTTGTAGACTTATTGTGGATATTTGTAGGATTAGGGTTCAGAGGATTATGTTTGAAACCGGGACCTTTATAAATCTAAGATGATTTAGTAGTTGGATAAATGAGACAAAGAGTGGGGACAAGTGCGGTAGAGATGGGTTAAAATAGTTTTGAAGAATAAGTATTACCATATATTGTGATATATTATCAGGTCAGTTAGCAATCGTAAAGTTTTTGTTATGTGGAAACTGATCAACGATAAATTGTCTGTATATTATAAACACATCTGCAAACTTTAGCCGATTCAGGCAAAATCATCTTTCTGTTTCATTAAGAATGTCAACCGAAGATTTTAGAACTGTATATTGTGTGTTGAAAAGGAACGAATATTTGGAGACACACTGTACAATGTACATTCAATTATCGCTCAATATTTCATCAATTACTTTGACTTTTACATTAAAAGAATATAATACAGGGACGGGGATCCAATCAGATTACAATAGTGTCATTGGTATTTGTTTACGAAATGGACATTTTTGGTGTTCACAAGATCAGATGACAAACTACAAATTCCATATCCACACGTGGCATTGATGTGAGCATCAGATTCCAGTGCAGTAACTACATTTTACTTACCCCCACGCTTGAGTCTGTTCAACGATTGTTCATATTGTACCTACAATATAGTATAAAAGCTCATTTTAGTATAAACTTCTGTTTACTCTACTATTTTAGGTGATACAGTTACACCACGCGTTATTGTTGTTCATTGCAAATTTAGCGTCCAATACATAATATTACGGGCAGGTTGATTTAATTAAGATTGGTTTCATATGAAGGAGTAAAAACATAAAAAATAGTTCTTGTATACAAAGATGTCACTTTAAAACACGGTATTGTTGTTCAATTTATCATGTTAAAGATAACCAACTTGGGATTCAGTCCACTGAACACAAACCACGCAAATTACATCTAGAAGAAAGTCTTCTGTAAGTTTAGTTGCAAATGGCTCGCTAATTAATGGCGTCCAGTTTTAATTCTACTTCTTTGATATTTTTCTAGGATATTCTGTATACCATTCACATATTTGTATTATTTGCTTGATATAGACGAGAGTTTCATCGGTAGCAATTGTGTGAAATGTTGGCGATGGCTGATAGACGATTGCCCGCTCGACATATCATTGCAAGTGTTGTTCGCCGACGACTTAGGAATGACAAAAGTTTTTGCAAGATGGGTGCCAAAGCCCTTGACTGCGGATCAGAAACGTGTCAGATTCCTGACATCCCGGGACAATCTTTGCAATTTTGAAGCAGATTTTGGTAATTGTTTGGCCGGAGTTGTAACGATGGATGAGACCGGTTTCCTAGTAATGATGACCGGCAACCACGCCTTTTAACATCGTTGGGAAAAGTGTGTACACCTAGAAAGGGATCATGTATAACATTAAACAGAAATCACTGACTTGGTACAGGTCTTTCACGGATAGGCAAGGAACTTTTCAGAAAATCATCTAATATGTTGACATCCATATATGACTCGCTAAACTATGTGACCTATATAGCCCTTCTTTAAGTAGCATTAAGTAATTAAAAAGTAACACACTAAAAACAAAAACTACTTTCAGAACCGTGGTAAATTTTAAACGGATTTCTTCTGTGAACTGTGAACTGTGAACAAACTACTGAATATTGTTATTAAAAACTTGCCTATGTGTTTGTAATCACCTCCGGTTGAATAAACTCCATTGCACAATTAAATATCCCAACGAAAATAAGTTCTCTCTTGAAAAGTCAATGTTTTTGCATGTATTTTCAATTGTGTCCATGGCAACATTGCACATGCCACGTAATGAGCTAAATTATCGTAATATGTTGAAGGGGGTAAAGGTTGACAAATTTTGACAATCACGTGTGTTGCAATCATTTGAGCAACAAAAATAGCAACTGAAGACAATAACATTAATTTGGAAACAATTGATTGTCAGTCTACTAAATTTTATTCACATTGAATATATCACCGATTATACGAATACTTGATAATATTGCTTTCACATCATCATCACCTCATAATTGTAAATACCCTGTATATTATATATTTAGTTATGAATTATATTACATTCCTGTCAATTATAGCCAACTTTGTGGCTAATATTTATAAATATTCCTGATTAAATTACTTTCTTTTTTCATTTTGGTTTATTCGACAGAAACTGAAATAGAAACATTCTTGATAAGAACAGTTCGGGATGTCTAAACATCGTTTATCGTCTTTATGTATTTTTAAAAAAAAATCACTCGTCAAAAGAGGCATCGCAGATTGCGTGTATTATTGGGTCTTGTGTATTAATTATGCAGACCGTGGTAAAAAAAAAATACTCGTGCAAGTTTCGCGCTAAATTTAACCATTTTCGCTGCATCTGTATAGCATACACTAACTCATATGGCATGGTATCTTTTACGGTAATAGAATTCAAAGTGTTGATTGGCTGAGGCATGATCGCGATCTACGAAATGTCATCAGAAAATTCCTTTCTCCGTGGATTTCCAAATGGAGTTGTAATTGTGAGTACAATGGTATGGATACATTGCCTTGTGAATTTCAAACGAAGCCGGGATTTTCTTGTGTTATTGAGACGCACGGTTATAAAATTCTGAACAGTTTGTGCACAACGGAAATAATATTCGAAGAGAAATAGAAAGAAATGGAGCTATCTACGGATAATTAAACCGATGTGCGGTATGATTTATTGATAATAACTTTTTGATATTTATAAAAAAAAAAAAGAAAAAATACGTTATATACTTATTCAATGATTCAATGGCCTCAGCTATCAATCGTGGCGAGGCAAATGTAAAATACATCGGCATTTACGGATTTACCTCGCCTACAGAAGATTGCCGTGGTTAATTGACAGCACTGCTTACGTTTATCAGGAAATATTAAAGATATGCAAGGATGAGATTTATGGCCCGTAAAACGAATGTTGTTCTTTTTGTTCTGCACCTGTGTTCAAAAGAAATAATCCCACCCAACTCTCTAACCAAATAATTAATACATGACGGAAACAAAAAACGGACTACGAGCGTATTTATGTTTCTAAACGCCCAATCTCATTACTGGTCCGAGAGTAATAGGTTATTCATACACAACATTTGAATTGTTGTAAAAGAGCCAAACACTGTTACGATAGACTAAGCCCTGCTGCGACCCCCTTATGCGAAATGATCTATCACGATAAGTGACGTAATTAGCTTCTAATTTTGTATTTCTCGATGTCTGAGTTCAATTTTACAAGAGAGAACTTTTTTATTCGTTGGGATATTTAGTTGTACAATGGATTTTATTTAACCAGGGGTGATTTCAAACAGCCGGGTAAGTTTATAATAACCAAAGTTAAGTAGTTTGTTTATAATCGAAAACATCCGTTTAAAATTTACGACGGTTCAGATAGTAGTGATGGAATAACAACGTTCTTAATAAAGACGAGAATACCATTCGTCGAAACGTTGCGTATTAGTAAACAAGTAATTGTTGTTCTATAACTAGTTATGTGGTGTGTTACAGGTCAATCGTTAGACGGAGAGATAGAGACAATACGAAATGAAATTAAACTCAACGGGCATACGTCATACAGTGTGCTATGATTTCTATTGTGTCTGAAAAGTAGGCGGTAGGGCTTACTCGTATCGAATTCCAACTGCCAAGGGTTCTTTTACGTTCACGTCAGTTTTTTTTAGCTCAGAAGGATCCTATTAGTTGGTTTTTATTTCAAACTAATAAGTTGCCACATTAAATAAAGTGTTTATTATTATTATTATTATTATATTATTACACGAGAATTCGGTTTTTCCTCCTATCCGAACGACTATATAAGTTGACAATACACGCACCTACATAACGGGGTTAGGCAACACCGTAACAGCTGATTAACCAAGTTTTCTTGACGGACCGTACATGAATAACTTAAATCACAATCAAACGTAAGAACTGTTACCTTTTCGTTGATGATGTTTCCATCGGATAACTGGATAAGCAGCAGAAGAGGTAACACTAACTGTGATAACATCATCTTGATATCATACCAGATTTCTGTTGAGATAGCTGTTTCTTATCGGAATATATATACAGTAAAATAACTACCTTAATTTATCATAATTTGATCGCTGAACGAATTTAGCGATGAAATCGATATCATAAGACGTTTCCCCATAAACATTATAAATTACCCAATACGTATATGAAATAAGTTACCCCGTGGTAATTAATTCACTGATGTAAGTTATGAAGGTTTTCTCTTTTTCTTCCGCATACAATATTAATCACAGACTGTAAGTTGCAGTTTGGCTGTTGAACGAATTTAATGTTGAAATTAATAATTATCGGAGGGTGAAATAAATGACCCCATGGTAATAAATTTATTGTCGTAACTTTTGGTTTCCTCCTTTATTTTCCACATATAAAATTTATCACCAATTGTACGATTCTAATCGATAAACACTCATATCGTGCGTGGTTAGAGCCAAAATAGAGAGGTTGGTTGACCCACTAGTGTAACACGTGTGCTTTAAATCATACGGTCTGCCCTCTTTCGGAGCAGAACAGTAGGGCGTTATACCCCATTTTGTTTTGTTTCATGAGGTTTGTCATTGAGTCCAGAAATGACAAAGTTTTGTGTCGATGAATGAACTGTACCCCCCTCTCTCTCTCTTTCTCTCTCTCTCTGCACGACTGATGACAGCAAGCCATCTTATCTCAATAAGCACTATTGGAGGGTTAAATCTATTTGTTAAGGTCAGCTCAATATTTGTCAAGTAAAATAAGATTAGGCCACGTGATTGTTGGCGAGATTGTAGGTTAGGGTTATAGCATCAGTCATCAAGGTTAGGGTTGGGATTAGCGCTAGTCCTGTTTACATCTCGTGACCTATGACGACAAATTGAGCTGGCCTTATCATTAAGCACTAACCCTACTGGAGCAAGCCATCATATCCCACTGTAGACTATTGCAGTGAGCAATCGTTCCTGTGTTGTTTATGTGCAGTGGAAGAGCTACGCCCAGTTTACTAGCGATGATGATTGTTATCTTGGGTTGAGGTTATTATAACAACTAGATAATCTCTTCAAACCCAACAGGTGGGATAAATATTATATTACTACAAAATTAACACTAATACACATGAGAATTATAGTTTGCATTAAATTTCATATTCTTCCCTGTTCTATCCAGTTTTTCTAGATAAATAAGGTCATTACAACATTTATTTGCCCAATTGCAAGATTTTTATATTTTGAAAAGGAGAGGGGGTGTTAATTATACAATTTATTAGTATACACATGTAACGTTATATTTACTTTTTTTTTAATTTTATAACCCGCTGTGGTATTTTTTTTTTTTTGTATATGACAAATTCAGATGAATTCCCCAAATGAGCGAAAAGTACTAAAAAATGTTATTAAACCAGTGTTGAAATCAGTTTTTGTCGGCATACCTTTTATCTATTTGTCGTTTACCTTGCAACACGGTAGTGCAGCTTTGTGGTTGTGCTAATAATTTTGGATATAATTTAGCCTGTGCCATATATCTCCATATGTTTGGCACGAAAATTCCATTCATTTAAGTTAAATGAAAACAATGTAATCATTTAAAGAAATAATGTATGAAGCAAATGCATACAAGAAACACACAAAACAGCAATCACGATTTAAGTTTATCTGGAATTCGGGTTACAGTAGACATACGGTGGCAACTCAACTCTACTATGTACAATAATTTTATATTTGGTTGAATAATATTTTTTTTGTAGCGTCATTGTATTGCAATGTGACAAGCGACAATTTCCATTGTTTGACTTCTTCACGGTTTATGCTAATATAGCCCGTTGCACAGATGGGCCAAATGAACCAATTTAAAAAAAAACAGCTCTCTACCTATCTTCGAGAAGACTTTTCTGAAAAGATGGTTTATCTTGGCCGTCTGCTCCGTCTAGCTTTGGACACGCGCATTAAAGTTATCTTAATTGCAAAATGACATGTGCCCATGCACAATTATCTCTGACCTTTAACCGACGAGGTCAGAGTAGTTAATCGCGTTTGGTTTTTGGCACATGTGAACGCAACACTACTTTATAAAAAAGCGGCCTACAATTTTGGACTTATTTACCATTGAAGGTGGTGACAAAATCAATCTGAAGCTACTTTAAAGCGAGAATTTCATATTTTCTAAGAAAGTCAAAACATAATTATTTCTATGTCTTTTTCTCAATTGGTTGTATCACCTCACTACTATACGATCAGGAGGCAGACCACCATTAAATTTCATCATCTCGGTACCCACGAATTGTAGTTCGTCTATTTATAGCAATTCTCTCTCTCTCTCTTTTCTCACCTTTTGCATGCCCATTTGTGTTGATTTTTTGGTCTAGAATGGACGAAGAGGGTTTGAATATTAAAATATTCATGATTTTGAGGCGGAAGGATAAGAGGGTTATCAGATTAGCTACGGCGATATGTACGGCAACTAGTTACATGTTTTTAGTATGCTTCCTCAAGTTTGTGTATCTCAAAATTTTGGTGGTCAACCTCATACAAATTTTAGTGCAAAGACATGACCATTTGTTCCTCTGTCTGTAGTGAAAAGCATTCAGTCCAACGAAAATTTGGGGAAAAGTTGGAGGTGGGCAAAGAGGCCAGAATTAACATTGAAGTCAATGGGGAAATTAATGGTGGTCTGCCTCCATCATAGTTATCATTCTCACACTCAAAAATGTTTCACACCGGAAATAATAACACAATTACCTCCCTTGTTTTTCTATTCTCTACCATCGAATAGCTATCTTCAAACGTTTGAATTTGAAGTTGAAAATGATATTTTTGCCAATTTCTCAATTAGCAATAGTGAATTATAGGAGTAATAGGATTATTCTTTATCAAGGTAGTACTGTTTATTATACATAGCATCGATTTTAAGGCTTTATTTTAATACATTTTAAAAATATGAAATTGTTGTTTTAAAACACACATAATTTTATGTTTATATAAAGGGTTGATTATAGTATTGTTAATAAATGCCATTTTGAAAACGTAATTTATCAGTGTGACTAATAAAATTAGAAGAAATAAAATGACGCAATGAACATGCCAACGTACCTATTTATAATCGTTGCAATGTATGCTACAGTAACTTGACAGTTACTCGTTATATTTGATGAATTGTTGTTTACCAGTTCCCATTCCAAGATAATTAATATTGAAAATTTGATAAATTTTCATGTGATTAATAAATAGCTATATATCGTTACTTAATGTGGCGTTAATGTTATTTTGTGGCATGTGTCATAATGTGCTTTTGTATCCTCTAGTTTTCCGTCCGGATAAGATCTGTTGAAGAAGTCAAATATTTCCAGTGGCTACTCAGAAAAAGATATTAAATAGCATTTAATACTATTTTGAAAATCTATCTGTATAGGAATGGTTGCTTTTTATTGTCGTCGTGCCTGTCCGTCCGGATGTCTGTCTGGACGTCAGTCCGGACGTCCGTCCACAATTTGTTTGTGGACACTCTACAGGTCACAATTTTTATCGGATTTAGTCGAAACTTGAAATATAGGTCTATTCTCAGAGATCTCGATTTCTTCCGAAATTGGTATGCATCGGACCGTAATTATGGTCCATGATTGTACAAAAAATATCACGTTTTTAGCTTGTGAACACTCTAGAGGTCACAATTGTCACATGATTTTAATGAAACATGAAATGCATGTTCATAACCCAACGATCTTGGTTCCTCTCGATATTCACGCATATTGGATTGTAACTTCTTGAATTATCGCCCAGTGCCCTCTAGGGGTCTCACTTTTTATCAGATTAAAAAAACTGTTCCAATATATCACCATAACATCTTAATATTTCGTGAAAATCGTACAAAAGCTGCCTGGCACGCAAATAGTGTAAAAATATGGTATATCAAGGCTGTGGACTCTCTAGAGGTCACAATTTTCATCCAATTTTAATGGCACTTGACATGTATGTTTATAACCCGACGATCATAGTTCCTTGCGATATTCGCACATATCGGATCGTATACTTCCTCAATTATGACCCCTTATTGTACGAAAACCCGTCTTTTTAGCTGATGGTCCCTATCTAGAGGTCACAATTTTTATCCGATTTGAAAGAAAAGTTCAAATATATCACCGTTACACTGCTAATACCTCAAATATTTGTTTTTACTCTGATCATTCTTCAGTCTTTATATGAAGCTGTAGTTTGATCGTATTTGAATGAAATTATCCATACAAAAATCTATTTATGTCTGGGGTCTTAGATTACCCCTTGTAGCCAACAAGGTTTTTTGTGCGGCGTGTCCGCACAAGGGTTAAAGACTTTTAAAATTCGATAATAAATTGCAGTCTAGAATCACGGTGAACCATGGAATATATCTTACCAACGGTTGGGAATGACACGGGTTCATACTCAGTATCTCATGTACGTTCTGATACTATGTCCTCTGTCAGTTAGGTAACTTGTTAAAATGCATCTCTTATAAAAGAAATACTAGCATCTTTGTATTGATCCAATTGATTGGCATTTAATACATGGAAATGAATACCATAATGGCATATCAGCTATAGTATTATGTAAATAAGATGTTAAATTAACCATCGATTATAGCTGTATTTCCACCATTAATACACAACATTAAACACGTATTCCAAGGATTGTATATGTATTAATGGGCCATTATGGAAGATTTTATAAAGAGCTGACAGTTCCCACTATAATAGTTACAAAATAGATAATGTAAAGGGAATATGCTGAAACCTTCAGTCAAATTATTCACTTTGAGCCGAGAAATCCTAATTTCAATAACACATGTGGCCGCGATTGTCATTGTTAACGTTATTACGATAATAAACAGTCTCGATTAACCAGTTTTACGGTAATTTATCAACCGTCGTTGAACAGCAGATCAGAATCAAATCTGTTGAAAATCGGACCCATCAGATGGCATCGAGAATTGATTATGGTATATTCATGTTAATAAATATCCAGTTAATAGTTTATAAAACATTTAAGGCCTAAAGAAAGACCTACAACATGTAG